CATGAATTCCGTTAACTCCAGTACTGGTTTCTCACCCTTTCAACTGCATCTTGGACGATCACCGCGCGTTCTGCCCCCCATTACGGAGGAGAAAGAGTCACAGGTGACTACCGTGCCAGAAGAACAACGGGCCGTCACGTTGCTTTCACAGCTCAAACATGACCTCATGGAGGCCCAAGATAACTTGCTTGCGGCCAAAGCCTCGCAAGCGACCCATGTTAACAAGAGCCGCGCACCTACAATAACCTTCAAGATTGGAGACCGTGTGTTGCTGGCCACGAAGCATCGCAGACGCGAATATATCCAGAAAGGAGACAAGAGGGTGGCCAAGTTTATGCCCAGGTACGACGGACCGTACCTCGTGCTCGACACACATCCAGAAACATCTACGTACACATTGGACCTGCCAAATTCGCCAAACATATTCCCAACATTTCATATCAGTCAATTGCGTCCCTATCGCCAGAACGACGCAGACCTCTTCCCATCTCGCGAACAACCTCGACCAGGGCCGGTCGTGACGGAAGACGGTCAGCACGAGAACTTCATTGAACGGATCGTTGATGAGAGAAAGGTGGGACGCGGAAAGAAATATTTGGTTCGCTGGGTTGGGTTTGGCAAAGCGGATGATGAATGGCTATCATGGCGGGATGTTGAGGATTGTGAAGCGCTGGACGTCTGGGAGGAAGAAAGATCAAAAAGATGATGGGGAAGAGTGTAAGCCCTGAGGCTTACGACACGTGACAGAATCGCATCTTGATTGGACACCGTCTTTTGTTTGTTCGGTGTTTGCACCGTATAGTATATAGAGCTGCTTGCCCCTTTGTTCGTATCTTATCTCTTACCATACCGCTCAATCCCATACGCTCATCCACGTACTTGTTGCCTGTTGTCTGTTAGTGTCGGCTGTTGACTGCGACAGCCTCACACATGCACTCCAAATTAAAATCAGTACCATCTCTCGCGCAGAAGTTGATCTTCACAGTGGACACTGATGGCAGGGGATGATGCAGTGCACTTAACCTACACAGAGGCACTACTGGAGGAAGAGTTGGAACAGAGATGTGGCAGTGGCGTTTTGCCCTCGCGTACTATAGACTTCCACCAACACTGAGTCACTCTCAAATCCCGCAAACACATCACCATACCTCTCGCGAAGTTTACAGCCGTCTTGCAGTGTCACACAGGACATGAATTCATCGGAGAGTACGCTTAAATCGTACAAACTGAACCTGCTGGCTTTCAATTATGTGGAGAGCCATGTCAAACGCAAGAACAAATCTTACACGCTGCTATTCATTCTGTTTGTCATTTTTGGGGGTTAGTAGGACAAGATGGGAATGAGTTGATTGCTAAAAATTGTGATCGTGGAATCATTTGTGTGTAATTTTCGCGCCACAGGTACCCATGAATCGTATAAGTGTTTCGATACCGATGTACCCCAATCGCAACCAACCGCCTCATGATGAGCCACTCAGGCTGTAACAAGATCCAACACTCCACTAGAGCTTTCATTGCAATTTGCAAAAGGACTTGACGTCATTCAAGTTGTTCGTTGTCGCTCGCCAGGAATGAGCATCGATGCGGCGGTACGAGACAACTATTGGTTTCCCGGCAGCGTCAGGCTACCACGCCCTGGCACTTCCATGTTCGTTCAAAGTTCTACCAGGAAGATGTGACGGCACGAGGACCTCTCTGTTCGGTTGGGAGGATTGAACGTTCGTCGATGGCGGTACAGGTATTCTTCTAGAATCAGACCAGTCAATTTATCAGCCAACTTGTCACGGCTGTGAGAAATCTTTGCCAACATACTTATATTTGCGGCAGACACCATCATACAGTATGGAGGCAACTGAACCGCCATACTAGTTGCAAAGTTAACATCCATAGTAGTCGTCGGGTGCCTGTCATATGACGTCAAAGTGCCGTGGTCCAGAGTCTCCAGACTCGGTTTCAAACTTTCGCGGAGGAGTATGATTTCGTATATACTGGAAATTTGGAAAGGACCGTCCGTCCCGTTTACATACCCGACACAGTTGCCTCCTGACTAGACTCGGAGAAAGACTAGTCCTTAAACATTGAACAATATCAATGATCCGGCGTTTCCGGGAGCAGTCTGAACCAAATTATCACGTGATATAATAGTAGAGCCTGTTGCCGTAAAGTCATGGGCTGCAAGAGATCCTTCTCTGTCATACTCACAGTTTACAAAGGCAATCATAAACGGCGATTTGGGGCCCGTTCCTGGCTCTGTCCGTCGGTCATGCGTATTGACCTAGCCAGATCATCTCGGTGGTAATAATGGTTGACTGAACTAGGCAACATGATACGGACAGTGACCAAGACAGTGCACTTGTCTCGTCTCTTAGTGGAGATGATGGCCTAGCTTCCTATTCGGCCGGCAGGAATCTGTGGTGCCAAAGTTTATTTATACAAAAGATATACCACATATAAAGGTATAGCGATATGTCCCTTTCATACATTCCCCTTCATAAAAATGGCCATTCAATCACTTGTAAGTGGTTAATATGTTGATTTTTCTGCTGCGAAGGCTGAAATATTGGCTAGCCAACCTCGACTGAAATACTTGTTGTGGGCGATGGACCCGCCGGAAGTTATGCTGCTGCTGTTTTAGCTCGAGAAGGTTTTGAAGTTACTCTTCTCGAAGCTGCGAACTTCCCTCGGTCAGCATTTGTGATATATGACATCTGCATATACGGTCACTAAGACACAATTGTGCTAGATACCATATAGGCGAGAGCTTGCTCCCGTCGGTCCGCCAATTCTTGGCATTTGTTGACGCAGAGGAATCTATCATGAACTATGGCTTCACAATTAAGGTGCGGATGATTTTAAATGCACCAGAATACAGTACATTAAATGATTTCTTTCTTATAGCCCGGTGCTGCGATCAAGTTGAACCAGTTCAAGCGAGAAGGATGTGAGCCTCGGTCGCCCTCGTTCACCGTCGTGTTAACATTAATTCTTCGCTCCAGATACAGATTTCATTGCGCTTAACCCAAACAATGGGTCTTGGAACGTGGTCCGTGATATATCGGAAACATTTTTTCTATCTCACCATTTCGCAGATTCGATCAGAATTTGACGATCTGTTATTTCGTCATGCTTCGAAGTGTGGGGCAACCATGTTCGACAACATAAGAGTCGCCGAAATTCATTTCGATGGAGAAAGACCTGTTTCAGCCGACTGGAGGAATGCAAGCACCGGGATACAGGGCCGAATCTTTTTCCACTACCTAGTCGATGCATCAGGAAGGAACGGGATCATGTCCACAAAGTATCTCAAGAACAGACGCTATAACCGGGCTCTCCACAACGTCGCATGCTGGGGATACTGGGCCGGAACTGGGTCTTACATGCCAAATACTACTCGCCAGAATGCTATCTGGGTCGAAGCACTTGAAGGTATGAAATCTACCCAAAGTCATCATGCTGAGCTGAACGTGTGCAGACGAGTCTGGATGGGCCTGGTTCATCCCTCTTCATGATGGGACTACATCTGTGGGCATTGTGATGGATCAAGAGTCGAGCAACCGCAAGAAGAAGGCTTCTCGTGCGGCCTCGGGAACATCCTGTTCGAATCTTCTGGCTCATTATAAGGAAGAATTACGCAGAGCTCCTGGAGCACTCAGATTGATTGGAAATGGCACTCTTCGAAACAACGGCACACTGGACGCTGTTAAATCTGCGAGTGATTTTAGTTACTCGGCTTCCTTTTACGCCAGGGATCATTTCCGCCTGGCGGGGGATTCTGGAGGTATTTTTTCTGATGTTTTGTGATACTCGCAATTGACAATCATCAAGCGTTCATTGACCCATTCTTCTCCTCTGGCGTGCATCTGGCTTTCACAGGAGGACTTTCGGCTGCCATCACGATAGCTGCATCCATTCGAGGGCTTTGCAGCGAAGAGGATGTCCAACAGTGGCATACCTCAAAGATCGCCACCTCTTACACGAGGCACGTGAACTTGGTCGCTCGGGCAATATCAACTAATGTATCGGATGCTGTAGGTTTCTTCTCGTCATCCTGGGGACCTACAAACAGATCCGCAATCAGTCTAAACCAGTGATGAACGATGTGGACGAGGACAATTTTGATAGAGCCTTTAATCTTATCAGGCCAGGTGAGAATCAATATTTTCCCCTGTCACTGCGAATCCCAAGACTTGAGTGCAGTGATACAAGGAACCGCAGATGTTGGCAAGGCGCTAACAGAAGATGAACTCCAGGTACGTGTGTTCTGCTGTCACCTTCCATAACACACTCAATCCGACTGCCAGAAAACCATGGACTTCTGCCGTCATTTATTTGCACCCACTGATCCTGAGATGCATTCTGCAGTCAGAACTAGGCAAGGGTTTCTCGTCTGTTTCAACTGAATTATTCGATACTAAACTCAATACAATAGATTGGATCCTACCTTAACATCTCCAGATGCACCCGTCATGACGGAATGCGAATTGGATCGGTTGCTCGGAGATGCTGATGAGGAAGCCAAAATTGTTTTGAAGGAGATCAACGCGCGAAAGCCTATCCATACGATGTACAACCCCACGGAGAACTTCGGCGTAGAGGAACACTTTGGTTTCAAAGCTGTCTTGGAACGAGGGAAATTGGGTTTGGTAACTGCGTAGCTCGGAAATGCAGATCAGTTATGTTAGAAGTCGGTTATTCGCTATGGTCATGACATGACGACAGAATTCAACAATCCATCTTGGCCAACTATGTTCCAGAGTAGTAGAACTTCTGCAGAGATTTTGTAGAGCTTCAATAATTTTTCCGCTCCACGTTGCAATTCAAGTTTTGCCTACCGCGGGTCTGATTCCGAAGTTCCAACTAGTACTGATATCTGTGATCGGCAAAATTCCGGATAGTCTTGGGATAGTCACTTACTTATATGCGGTAATTTCAGCTTTCCCGCGCCACTGGGCCGATGGCAAATACAATAATTGGTCGACCCGCTCTCTACAACTTCTACCATGGATGTCTCCTACAGTTCGTCACAGGCCCAAGTCATTGAGAACATGTCGACCGGCGCTGAAGACACGTCTGTCGAGCGTCCTCGAACACCCGAACCAGTCCAGCGCTCACCACCAGAGTCAAGCAATGACCGGAACCAGCAGCCTTCGCTACAAGAAATCCTTCAAATGACATCTACCACAGTCAACTTCATATCAACCATCACAGCACTCTTCAACGAGAAAGGGGAGCAGAGTCTGTGCTTCCGAGAAGGTAAAATTCGATGTTCAGGGCGCATATAGTCACGTAGACGCGATCCCCTAATAAAAAACAGAGCTCAGACGAAAAATCCTCTTCACCGCGATGACTGCACACGCCTGGGCGACCGCGAGGGTCGTGCACGAACACAGAGTCGCAGGAGACACGCTGCAAGCCGGCATTCAGAAACTTTTGAAAGACGAAAAGAATCAAGGCAGGTCATCTCACCCCGTTTTTAGGTCGACGTTTGGTATGCACGCCATTTGTATCGCCCCGCTCTAGGCTGTGCCGTTCGCTAGTTACGATTACTAATTATTGTTATTTTTTCCTGAAGATCGCATACGTGCACATTTGTCGGAGATGTTTGAAGCCATCAACAACACTGTCGCTAGCTTGACGGGGCTCAGTTGAGATTGGGCGTCGTTGTTACTGTCCGATATGGTGCGCCGCCTGTGTCCGTTAGGTACCTTGTCAATAGCTCTGCCCAATTCGAACTGGTCTTGTTGTATCGTTCTCGAAAGTCGCACTTGATGCACTGATACATCGATCTGATGATATCCATGCAGTGTACTTACCTGCAGTGCTATCGCCCAGCTAATCCAAAACCGCTCCATTTGATATTACGCGGTGGCGAATTTCTGATGGCACCGCCCATCACTGTCAAGTCTGTTTAGATTCATACTAATGAAGCCACTCTTGCCGCTTCAGCTTGATGTGCCTGCCTGCGCATCTACGCATACATCCTATTTCCCACTCATGTGATATCTTGATGACTATAAACGTTTCTTCTCCGCCAAACAATCTAAGTTGATGATTCGACGAGAAGTGCTGTAGGAGGTTTTCTGCTAATAGTCAGTTTTCGACGTTGAGCGACAAAATTTGCAGTGCGCATGGGAGTTCCCCATTTCTACAGAAAATCTGGTGAGCTCTAATCTAGCCTTCTCTGCTCACAACCAATTTTACCTCCGTCAGCACGGAAATCATCAGAAAACTTCCAGACTGCCTATGTTTTGGACTAGTCAAGTACTTTTGCGATCTTCGCCTGTCTGCCTATAAGCGATAAACATAAACTTGACTACACACGTAAAGAAATTGCCCAAACTCGCGTGGAGCCTGGCTACGGCAGTCCGTACGACAGTACTAGTGATTGGAGGCGCTTTGCAATGCCCAAGTTGAACACGTATTATTCATGTCCGCCTGCACGCGTGCGAATTCATTAGCGCTCACATCAGGAACAATTGGAACTCCACTCTAAGAAGGCCCAAGGTCCTCCCAGACATCATACGGATCTAGCAAGTTACAGATAGCAGCTGTGATTTTTTTCCTCCGATCGTGACAAGTTAAGGCGCCGTGGTGGAAGCTCACCTGCCATCCTGCAGCTCTGAAACCAAATTTGAACGCGCGACTCTGAAGCAAGATTTGATTTCGTCTGTGCCATATTTCGTGGTTCATGTACATAGTATACAACTTCATAGGATTCATGATCACATCATTCTAGAGAGTAACATTGGTTATCTCTCTTTGCGCCTTCTCTGCAGATGCACTGATCATCTACACCATCTACTAGCCAGATCGTTTGGGATCGACGCGGCGAGGAGGATTAGCTGTTTCCCTAATATTTGATCCCGTCAAATGGCAGCTCTGATATAATAAAAACCACGTACTTCTGAGAGACGGGTTGCTTATTGGGCTGGTTCTGATTTTTCTTCTCCTGCTCCCTAGCCTCTTGAAGTTGGCGGGCATGACTGGGAGATACAGCCCTTCTGGAACTGAACCTAGGAAATGTGTCACTTTATCGTACACTGCACCGAAATTCAAAAAAAATTACCTGAAATCCTCAGAGGCCTCGAATGTAATCTCTTCTGGGGAAAATTCTTCCTCCTCTGAATCTTCAATTAATTCGTCATGGAGTTCCGGAATGTTCTCATCATATTCCCTGTACCGCCATGAGACCTTGCATATCTATCATGTTCAGTATGAGTGCACTTGCCGGGAATGGGTAGAGGGTGTTCCATAGGGAGCGTCTTTTACGCGTTCGGTCATCTTGGCGTACAGTTATGTCGTCGTGCAGCAGAGCGAGCAGTAAATCAAATCGAAGACAGAGTAGTGGACAGGGAAGCGCAATCAATCTGATGAACGTATACTTATATGTAGCTGGAGCGGAGCTCGATTTGCGTCAGTACATAAGTAATCGTCTGACCATGAGGACAGGAGCTAGACCCTGATAACGCAAACGCCGTTTCCCATAGCACGCCGTTTGCTTATCGAGTCTGATAGACGCTTGCGGGTGGACAGCGTGTGCCAAGCTGTATTAATTATGACACTGATTGTTTGGCCTGTTGTACACCGAATTTTGATGAAATTATCAGCAATATCACTTATCTGAGCGCTAGGAGTGGTCAACTCGTGGATCTTACCGTAAACGTCATTTGTAAATGGAAGGCTGAACAGATAGCCCCAACTGGCACTAGTCTAAACCTTGGCATTTGTACGATAGTACACATTACTAGTTCTGGTGGTAGGAAATGACTTAGAATTTGGACTGGTAAGGAGACAACAACTTGCCATTGAAATTAGGACACTGACTATTGTGTTCACGTTTTTTTCCCCCTGGCTGGCTGCATACGTATAGCACGCTGATTACAGTCTCGCATGCCAGCAGGTGCGTTTAATGAGCTCCTGTGGCGGGTGATAAAGTCTGCGGAAGAGACGCGATAAATGTGTTTAACTTTCACGAAGACGTACTGACGAAGTCCGAGTCATAGTGGCTAAGATCTATGACAACCTGCAGATGATTGACTCGTAGAGCCTGGAAGATCAACAAAAGAACCGCTTGCGTCCGGTTACTGCCTTTTATGGTTTACAAGTCCCGAACAGACTGGTAGTAGGCATCCCTCCCTTGCAACTAACTCAGATAACTTATTGTAGCGATTTTACTCATGATGAGCATACAATCTCGTCATTGAATATCTGAGTCTGATTGCAGTGCTAGCACGCTCAGCAAATCCAAAACGATATTACGCGGCGGCGAATTTCTGATGGCACCGCCCCACCACTGTCAAGTCTCATAATGAAGCCACTCTTGCCGCTTCAGCTTGATGTGACTGCCTGCATACATCCTATTTCCCACTACTAAGCATGTGATATCTTGATGTTTCTTCTCCGCCAAACAATTTTGTAAGTTAGTGATTCGAGGAGAAGTGCCATATCATATTCGCGCCCGTCGTGACCTTAGTTAACCTTGGATGTCCACTATACAAGTTTCCTTCTATCATGCTGGTCATAATTAACATCATTTTACCGAATTATCGAATTCTAGTAGCTTCTGAACATTGCTACATCATCAATATTGCAATTTGCACATATCAACATTCTAAAAAAGGTAAATTTTAAGCAATACTTTGTACTTCTTCGCCCAACCCTCCCAACAGCAACATACTTACCCAGTCAATAACCTGCTGCAAATCAGCATTGCCGGCGACAGTAATTAGACATGGCTGGCAAAGGCCCACATTGTTCATTTGTTCTTCTCGCCGAGTTTGACATTGATAGTGGTGCCCAGCTCACGTACCAGTTTCCTCAGCCGCTGGGAACAGACGAGGGGTGAATTTCGACTTGACCTGACCCGAACTATGTATCGGTTAACTACTTCATGTCAGTTTGCTTGCAAATCTTATGCTTCCAGATGGAGCAGAGAGGCACCTCGAAGATTGGACCATTTTCTTCCTCAACCAGACGCCATTCAATACCATTGCACCAGTTCTTGCCTTGGAGACGGAACCGAGTGACAATCAGTCAAATGGAGAGGACGACCGCCCGGAACTGTTATATGTCCTCAACCTGGTGCGGACGAAGCATGACAAGTCGGTTCGGAGGTGCGTAGGTAGTTTTGACTTGTTGCACACCATCTACATGCGTCGCATCGCAGAGGTGCCGTAGTGAAAGCGATGGCTATTTGCACACGACATCCATTTATCCAAATATTCAAGGTATATCTGAATTTCATATCACTTGACTGATTGCTCACCAAGCGCCAGCCCGTTCTCCTCCTTGCACTCGACGACTATTTTGCAAACCCATCCCAAGAATGTCTTACGCGCCTATTTGATGCGATTAACTCGATGAACATCAGTGCTGCGCCTGCGCTTACACGATGTGAAAAACTAATCATGCGCGCCTCAGAGCGCAAAGACATATTTGCGGAGAAATTCACTCATATACCCCCACTTCCTCTCAAGGCTGCACACAAGACGACAGGATCGAACGGTTCACATTCATCTGAAGACGGGGTTCTCATCAGTGCTCGCGCACGCTCTACAACAGCTACCTCTGATCATAACCCTACCCACCCGTCCTCTCCGTCGGACAGCTCGTTCAGCCTTGGTGGGAGTGCAGTATGGGTGAATGATGACAGCGTTATAGTTGATAGTCAAGTGGGTGTTGCAATAGGTGCAGGCCCAGGAAGCGTCGGTGGCGCTTCAGTGAGCGGCAGCAGTGTTCTTACTAGCCGCGGGCGGCGTAGCACTGATACAAGCTCGAACTCGAGCCACGCTTATAGCGGTGGCGCAATACCCACATCATCCGACCCACATTTGCGATCGGGGATATCCAAAGATACCCATTTCTTTCAGACAAGCATTGCATACAAAGGACATACCTTGCCAATCAAACTGCCTCTGGCCACTTTTCCTGAGGAAGTCGGAGAGGTGCGTCTCTTGATGACAATGCACTTGATACATAGTTCTGAATAGGTGTTTTCTCAAGTATTCCCTAATCCAACTAATACAAACGTTTTCTTCGCCACTCATCACAATCTCTGGACCGCTACACCCACATCTACACACAAACGGAATTCTCACGCACCCAATAACAATTCTCTTCAACGCGCTTGTTACTGGCAAACGCATCCTCTTCCTTGGTCATAATATCCCTGCTGGACAGGTCGCCAATTATGTCCTTTCTGCTTGTGCCCTGGGCTCTGGATGTGGTGCAGTACTACGAGGATTTATTGAGCGATCATTTCCTTATGCCGGACTTGCGGGCGAGGACTGGGTTTCAACGTATGCATCTCCACACTTTTTCTCGTGGAAGACCTTGATCAATGATATTTATTTCGCAGGCCGGCATACATAGCAGGCGTGACTAATCCTATCTTCGAAACCAGTGGACTCTGGGATCTTTTGATGGACATCGGCACAGGTCGTGTTGTCGTGCACAAGGACATACACGTATCTTTCCCAACTACGATGGCACCGCCTGCACTTGTCAACCCAATGATGCCACGTCCGATAAAGGCGGAAAACTCGACCGGGAGCGAGGATGATATCCAGCGTATCGCAACTCGAGACGGGAAGGACGGGAACCAAAAGAGCGAGTTTGCAGCGAAGCAAGACAGCTTAGATAACATGTTCATTGAGGATGTAGGTCTTAGTAAAATTGTCGCATTGCCTCGATCACGTCGGCAACTAACATCGCTCGGTGTTTAGCTGATTTCAGCGATCACCTCGCACTTTGGGGAGACGCTGGTGCGGATGCGATTTACGGAGTACGTGTCGCGCTTCGTTCGACTAGCGTCGCGGTACGAGGAGCTCGTTGTGGGATCGACGAAGCTTGGATGTGGTAGCGCACCATTTTCAGACGGGTCCCTGGGCAGCGGTATCGTGTTTCCGGATGAGGCAGTTGCATTTAAGGAGCTTGCTGCGAACGCAAGTCGGATTGAGGGTTGGCGAAGGAGCAAGTCCTATCAATACTGCGTCCAGGTGAGTAATTCCTCCTCTAGAGGGTGTGGGGCTCGAGGACATTTTGATATATTTTCCGTACTGTGTAGGATTTCAAAAAATATCGGGCAACCGCTGCTATCCAGGGATTCGACCTATCTCATCAACTTCTGAAATTGCGGCTGGTGAAAAACTTGCCAGACGCGGAAGTCGAGCTCATCGTGCGTTCGATAGCAGACAACTTGCGGACATATGAACAAATAGTCGAGGTGAGCATTCTCACATTCTGGACTGTTTGAGTGATCCATACTTTCTGGTGCAGCTGCTTGCTTGTATGCCACCACATGCCGGAGGATTACAGCCTCTGAGTTTTTGCCTATTCCACCATCAAGAATCTATTCGGGAAGCCACCGTCGATATTTTCAACGAGCTGCGTCAGAACCCCGTACGTTATTTGCTCATCTTTCTATTCTCGCGTAAGATCACTCACTGTCTTTGTTCTATAGGTCGGAGTGATTTTTCTGCAAGCTCTGAATCACTTCCAGAGGTATGCCTATGTTCGACAGGCGCACGCTCGTGAATCACGCATGAAGGATTTGAGCCATGGTCTAGCCCCACCACCTCACTTGGTATCACGGACGCCGTCCAACCGCAGTGAAGTCAGTCTAGGGGTGATGTGAGCATGGAGAAATGTCGCCAGTTTGCAAGGTCTCGTCTATGCGGACTTACAAAAAATAATTCTATATTGGCTCGCACTACATGTACATCATATATCATACAAGTATTTGTGTTGTCGCGAGCACTGCACCTCTCGAGACCCACCCTACTAGTAGGACCAACAGGGAAGGGCCGGGACAGGTGCCACCGTCAAGCGAGGGAACCTGCCCCTTCAGGATCTCCCTGGATTGAATGCCAGCGACACAGGATTTTGCTAAGTATAGAACTCTGGTCGTACTCATCTGGGGATGTGACATATAGGGCAGCCCACACAAGTAGTATCAAAAAGCAGGCGCCTCCAAACATTGCGAGTCCGCCGACCACGTGAGACGCCAGTAAGAGAAAGTGGGCCACCATAAAGACGATGCTCCATAGATAGAGGCCTTTGGGCAAACTAAAGACGATGGCAGATGGGAGCATTCCAATTGAGCGTGATTTTGCGGCTCTCAGGTAGCGCGCCTGAAATAGATATGGTTAACTAGACTGCGGAACGTAAGAAAGAGAATGATGCGAACAGCAAATGATGCGGTGGCGTCTTCTAGGCCGTGGTGCTTAAGGAGTAGGATCGATCCTACGGCGAGGCTCCCAGACGCTGAGAGAATAGCCGGTAAGGCAGATGACAAAGAAGCACGAGATAAGAGGCAAGAGAGAATGGTAGCACTATAAAAGAACGGTCATGACGGCGCCCTTAATGTCCGATGATCAAGGCTTCTCACATTGTTATTGGGAAAGTCTGTAGAACCGAACCATGAATTGAGCTTCACCACAGTTGATCAGAAATGTGCGCACCCAAATAACTGCCGTATGCCACTCTGAAACGCATGTGGTCATGAAAATTTGCCATTGATCCACAAACACTTGTTCGTTTGCAAACAAATCATGAAGCTCGAAAAAAAATCGATCGGGGATTCCCCACAAAGCCAGGTTTGCAATTGTTTTCACCCATTGGTGATCCATATCTTCTTCGGGCGTCATGATTTGCAGCCTATCTAATTGGGCATGCTCTTGTCCATAGTAAGTCAAAAACCGCTGGTTTTCTGCTTGTGCCTCAGTATATATGCCAAGGTGATTTGAATGTCCAACAAACCTATTGCGCCCCATAGACGAGCTATAATATTCGTGAGCTCGATTCAGAACAGAAACTGGGGAGTCCCACCCACCAACAAAGCATAGTGTGTGTCCATCAAGGGCACGACCTTGAGAGAAAGCTTCGGTTAGGAAATTGGGCACACTTAATTTTTTTCTTGGATGTACCTCGTTGCAGAGACAGTAGCTGCAACAGCTGACTACATCTCTCTGCAGTGTATGGAAACGTAGATGATCGTGAGGTCATACGGTCTTCATTCAGAGTTCAGAATATGAAAATTGATGAATAAGAAAATAAATACCTGCTGCACCATGAGACATGACGCCGATTAAATCGTCTACCATCTGAGGTGACAACTGTGTGTATATGTGCATCGGGAAGAATTCGACATGGACCCAGTACAGCCTTTCTAAGGCGATGTCTGCTGCCATGTGAGGATAAACGACAGATAACAATTCGGATACATACCGCGATGGGAGTCGGAGACGATCGTTCCCATATCAAGCAGTTCTGTAGAAGTCTGTTCAATCCAGAAGATACGCCGGGTATCATGGTCTACGAAGTAGTAGGCACAGGAGAGTGGAAATTCATCAAGCTCTATGAATAGCTCTGACGAGGGCGGTATAATAATCTGCTGCTGCGAGATTATGTCATCGATAAACTTGAGGCAGCCAGACACCTGGCTCTCGGTCTCTTGCCTATAAACATTGGCTTCTGTCACGACGACATAGTTGGCAAGTCTTGCTTGGAAGTACAGCTGGCCTTCTGGGTGTGGGTATGAGTTCCATTTCGTTTGCGTGTCGAGAGTACTTGAGGGAGATATTGATTGTTCAGATTTGTGCAAACGGACGCTAAACCACTAACCTGGGAACACTGAGAGATCCTGGTGGTATGACAGTGTGATAGGAATAGATGCTAGAAAATCAATAAAATGTCGGTGCATAGGCTTTTGCGAGTTGCACAAACTTACCTTGGCGATTTGCCATAGCGTGCAGTAGCCACTGACGTCGTGGGTCTGAGCGTTCCTGCTGGTGAATGGATGGACGAAGGCGCTGCCACATCATTGCATCCTGCTTGAATGTACTGGCTCATATCGGAAACTGTTAACTATGGATTGCCGGACCATATGCATTTTATAAAGGAAAAGATTTAGCTGTGCTTCCGGCAGCCGAGCGTCAAATTCTAACGTGCATCGACTTGCTGTACATAGGATCTCGATATTGGCGGGTTCGAAAGACCCCAGTCGGTTGTGATGTTGTGGCTTGTTGATAGGCAACACAGGAAGTGGGAGAATCGGAGTCTCAAAAAATTACCAATAAGGACGATGAGTTATGTCAATCCATACCACGATAATTCCCCCCTTAAGCTTACTCAGTCGTCCAGTCCTAGATCACCTCAAGACCAGGCAGAACTTTTCAATAACGACAGGCGCTAGCTGCCGCGGGAGCGACTCCATTGACATTCGACACCCATGAAGCGTACCAACTCTATTCGTCAAGGAGTGGTTGGAGGTAGATGCCATGATAATTTGGAGGCACGGGGCAGACTGGTGAGGCCAGCGGTCATACATGGCACTTTGTATCATCTAAGAAGAGGTGGAAGAAAGAGACATTAGCATATTTGGCGAAAGGTGTACCTTTGTATCACTGCGCGGCGTCTGCCACGGCGAGCAAGACTGATTATGTCAGTGTTAGCGGCCTAAAATGGAAATTGTCGTATACATGATTGCAAACTCACTGGAAATGAGCGCTGAGCGCTTGAGCAGCACTCACCTGCCTAATAAGGTTATATGCATGATTTTTCGAGCCTACGGAAACCATCATGGATATTACATCTGACCGGTCGACCGTCCAAGGATACGGCAATTACAGTCACATCCTACCAATCTACTACGTGTTAGGGCATACATCACGTCAGGTGAGGTATTACAGCACTTCCAAGCATCATCATGGCAGGCGTAACTGATGGAATAGTAAGAGCAACGTCAGTTCTGGCGTCTCTTATATATACTATGATAGTGGCGGCTCATGCCAGTGGCTGGCTCATCAATCACTTGATGGGCTTATCAGAGCTTCTTTCGTTCATATATGGTCCTGTTGGCCAGCTAAGGTTGCTTAAGAGTTGACCGTTATCGCAAACTTCTGCCGCCCTAGCCTCATAAAAGGTGTCCCTGGATCTGTCTCAGCGTGCCCTCATCACCTATCGTCCTTGACTAGCTATGTCGTACCCCAACCCAGAAGATCGCAAGCATAACCCACAACGGTATCTATTGGTTTCTACCCCACATCATTAATATCTCATCCAAATTATTAGGAAATCCGACGAAACTACTTCCAGGGTTCGCAGATCCAAAGATGCGAAAGATTCCGAAGACGAACGACCCAAGGACTATGTAGACAGCTCCTCAAACCACGAGAGGTACAAATTTTCCCGCTTCACTCTGGCTTGTGATGCAGAGATTGATCGCTCATCAGGTTCACGAGTCGAGGAAGGCAAGATGAGCATTTGAGACGAATGCCGCAGGCACAGATGCAGCCTAACACCTGGTCAAACCCTCCTCCTCAACATCAAAGCTCCAGTATGCAGGCACCTCGTCAAGCTAATCCTTCATACTATTCACCTGCACAATACGCTCCTGCACAACATGCACCTGCTCAGCACGCACCTGCTCAGCACGCACCTGCTCAGCACGCTCCTGCTCAGCACGCTCCTGCACAACATGCTCCCGCTCAACGTCCTCCTGCTCAGTATGCCCCCGCGCATCATTCCCCCGCGCAACATTCCCCCGCGCATCATTCCCCCGCGCATCATTCCCCCGCGCATCATTCCCCCGCGCATCATTCCCCCGCGCAACATTCCCCCGCGCAACATTCCCCCGCGCATCATTCCCCCGCGCATCATTCCCCGGCACAACATGCTCCCGCTCAACGTCCTCCTGCTCATTATGCCCCTGCGCAACATGCCTCCGCACAACGTCCTCCTGTTCAGTATGCTCCTGCGCAACATGCTCCTTCGCAACGTCCCCCCGCACAGTACCCACCCGCACAGTACCCACCCGCACATTATCCATCTCAGTTTCCTCCCGCGCATTACCCACCAGGCCCTCCAGGGCGAAGGTGAGGGATGGTTTAGGCTTTAGGTATCCATCACTCGCAGTGACTGCTACGACTCCCATACGTCAGGTGTAACAATGTATTCCGGTTATCTCAAATATGTACAACGAAAGAAAGGTGACGACACGTTGATTATGACTAGCATTCGAAACTTGATGTGTTCCTTGAGAAAATTCACTTCACATCTAGCTACTTCAATTTAACACTATGCAGTGTATATCTTCCAGAACTCGTAGCTGGTCCAGTGGTGTGCAACAGCCTTCCAACATTCGCTCGAACAATATCAAGACCAGATTCTAACTTCTAAAAACGTGCTAGAAGTTGAGGCTTGTCGAAGCATGCCAGTTACCGGTGCACAGCCCTGAGTATTAAAATTACTATATACTTACTAATTAAATAAAGTACTATCTGCATAGGTTTTCGTTTTCGGGAAATCGCGCACTGCCCAAGTCACTTCAGTGCACCGATTTGTATGCACCGCTTCCTCCTCTAGTATTTATTACCCTTGGGAAAACATTAATGGTTCGACGACGTACCCACTGTACATGTCCGGTCAATCAAGGGACATACATAACACAGTGTCGAGGTTTCTGTCGTGTTACGATATCAAGGCACTTACCCCAGACTGATCTACAGCAAGTACAGCAATACACGGGACCTTGATAACTGGACCAATGAACGTTCGCGTTGTAGTAGACTTGTACGCCATGCTGCAAATACCAGTGTTGTTCTTCCTGTGTTAGATACCTTATCTTCGCCATATAACAAGCTGAATTTCGAACTCTCGATCATCAATACCAAATGGCTTCCTACCAAATCACAGAAGATCTTATCGCTGAGGAGAAAGGGTAAGATGATCCACCTCCTAGTATGAACCATTAATGAAATCATTCATTGTTTCCAGGCTGCCAACCGATGTAGACGTTGACTCAGAGTCTGATGACTCCGATCTCTCATCAGAGGAAGAATTTAGTCCAGAATCAGAGGAATCGATCCAGGGTCCTTCAACTGGGTTCGTTCATCCAAATAGACATTTTCACAAGCGGGGCCCAGGATCTCACACTGTCATTTAGTTTTTCCAAGCGCGGGCCATACAACCCCGATTGTGCTGGCACACCGAAGAAAGACAAGAAAGACAAGAGCACTCCGCAGATCGCCCAGTACGTTCAACTATAATAAGTAATCCGGTCTCATGATACTAACAAGTAGTTACTCAAGGCCTCGCAAGACTACCCAACCACCTCCGGAAAAGAAGCCCAACCCAGCCAATTACACAGATGGCCAGGCAAAGCCTAAGTGACTTGTGCCCAACCGTACATATATATAATACCATTTCCAATATACTATTTTCGTTCCTTGAAAGATCAGTACTAGTATCCGAGGGTTCTGTCTAGACAATTCTCATGTAGATATGCAATGTTCCCGGCCATGCCATATGTTAACCCTCTCACAATCATGATACACATGTCAGTCATAATGTCAATATATTATGCAGTGCCAACACTCGTTCTTTAGACAGTTGCTTCTCAACAAGAACTCGAGGTTTGAGGACGTGGGGGCGGGGGTGGGGTTGCTAGTGCGGCGTTCCACCAGTGTGCCTGTCGTTAGGCACAATTAGCACGGGCTCTTTAGCACAATCAACTACTTGTGTAACCTTGCGGCAAGTCATTCAGATTCACGGAAGATTGACTTTCCATCATGTCCCCGTCCTTTCGTTTGATAATCAGGGGTTCGAGCCATAGATGGAACACGTATCTTCTCACTCAAAGTCTAGCATGAAAGCCGACTGGAAACCTACTACTGATATCTCGTGGAAGAGGGATCAAAAGAATCTAGGAATGAGTGATATCCGCCAAATGATTGACCGAGTCCTCTCACACAGAGACATCAGGCAAGTTGACAATAGACCTCCTATGTCGCCTGCGCCAGATAACACAAAGCTCTGCAAGGTTGTCATAATAAATATGAGCCCAAGTCACCATAAACCTGCAAGGCCCATTTCATAGCAGAAAGTGCACACACCCAAATATAAACTTCCTCCGCTTGAAGACCGGACGACTTGCAGATTTTTCCAGCTCTGAACTTGCGTTGTGCTTTTGATGATAGAACCATGCATGTAGATATAGAAGGTCTAGGTATTCGAACTCCACAGCATAGGCGTGCTTCTCCTTGTGATAAGACATATCTGACCTTTGCGTACAATAGCCTTTGAGGAGTGTGATGCGAAGAAATCCTGGTAGAAAAAACAAGAACGAGGCAGGCGGCAAATACGACAGATTCGGCTCGGTTAAAATAAAGATCTGGCAACGAGGCAGTTAATTCATTGGCAAGACTCCTGTCACTATGCCTCAAACTTTTGAAATAATAACCCTGAACAAGCATGCTACCTTTTCCGAGTCATAGGAACCCATGATCGAGGCTCATCGGATCCTGACAATGCCTCAGCCCAGGGATCCCGTGTCTGTGTTTTCGGTCGTCGATCAGATTCTGGCGGTTCTAGCCTGTCATCCCTAGACACGTTTCGAGACTGCGCTTCAGCTGCAGAATGGTGGCTGGGTGCCTCCAGTCGCTCCCTATTGGCTCTTTCTGCTTCATCCCTCGCTTCTAGAATAGCTGCGTTTGACTTAACCCGTTGCTGACGTGCTAGATCCGCTTGTAGTTCCTGTGACAGTATATATCAAAATTCACGTAAAATCTTAGCAGAGTATCAGGTTAAACCTACCTCAATGCCCGGTGGATCGGGCCTAGTGTGCGTCAGCCATGCTGACCATTGCACTGCACACAATAAACAAGGAGTAGGCAACATCAGAAACAAGAACGTAACGATTAAAATGGAGGGTACAAACCTGGCAAACGTTTTCCGCTAGCAACGTACGCCCACATGTCTTCGTTTTTCCTGTACTTCACTGTTCGTTTGGAACGTCCTTTGCACATAACAAGTAGACCATAAGTGGGGACTTGAAAGAGGTTCCGGGACAATCGTACCGTTGTTCGCATTTGGATACTCAAAATATTTATTGCCTAAACTATCGGATCAAGAGACACAGGACGAGGCTTTGTGTCGCAGGAACGTACCTTCCATGTCCTTTCCAACGAAATATGTCTACAGGGAAACGTCAGTAGCGGAACGTATATCGCGTTCTGGTCCGGTCTATCACATACTGGCTTCAATATTCGCTGCCACAAACGCCTCACAATTGACATGGTGCCGCGGTAAGACGGCTGCGAGAAAAGAGCACTGAAAATTTTAAACAGCTACTGCCTCTCGAGGTACAGACAATGCCTCACCAGCTTTTTTGCCGAACGGAACAAGGTGACTCGAGTCGTCTGTTGTAAAACTCCGGGTGCCGCGGAGATTAAAACAGGCGACGGAACATCACTCAGCCTTTACATAAGCTCAGCCCGAACATTGCCGTTGGAGCTGGAGTGCGACTTAACTCTAGGAAATACTTGCTAGCGAGCCGCTCCAACACTACTAGTACCAGCTCCAAAGCGAGTCGTTGAAGCGCATTGCATTATTTCTACAAGGGGAATGGAATTCTCTAGTAATCTCCAAGACCCTCATCGTCATCCAAATCTCCCTCTTGTATTTCCTTGGCGAGCTCTTTTTCGCGTTCCCGCGCATCCTGCGCAGCAGCAAGCTCCTTACGGTGTGCATTAAGTGGGTAGCGCATAGCCTGCAAGATCCAAGTATGAGATATGCCCGACGTGAAAGTTTCCAACGGAAAAAACTTTACCTTGACACTCTCGTTATGCAAATCCAAACAATATCCGATTCGTCTGCCAAACATATCGCTAGCCTCAGGGCCGTAGCCATCCTTCTGACTTCCGCATTCCATCCATCCTTTCTCATGGACGATTCTGCCTTCAATCACACCATCCCGAATGGCCTTACCAACAATATACTCTGCGTCTTCCTCGGAATCGAGGTGGAGTTTCAAGCAGATGTCACGCAACGAAATCCTCGAGTATGATAGAGAGAGCCTGCGAATACCGGTCTTGATAACATTTTGCCGGAGCCGGACAATCAGGGTATAAGTTTTGTCGGCTTCGAATTGTGCAGCATGTTTATTCAAAGTTGTCTGGAACTCCGATAAGGAGCCTGTCCGAACAGCTAGGGGGACGCGTCAGCAATTGCATTGCTTTGGACAGCAGTAAATTTTCCTACCCTTCACGATGTCAAAGTAAGCACTCAAGGCTTTCTCTAATACCGGATGCCGGAAAAGACCCCGGTCCGGAATGTCGCCCATTAAAAGTTCAACGATCACAAAAAGTTTGTGCACGACCTGGTAGAACCCTGGCGCAGTCTTTGCAGCAGGGGCGCGACGGATAGCTTGTTGCAGGTTCGTGTGTGCCGCAGTATAATTCAGTTGCACCGCTTTGATGCGCCCAAGAGAATAGTGGTAGCGGGCATACTGCGGGTTGCTCGCTGAGACAGGGAAAGTAGTCTTGGACACTAGTTTGTCAGCTGGGTCGTAAAGATTATAGTGGAGATAACCCCGAAGTAAGCGATTAATCAGCGAGGCTTGCGTGTCATCATCGTGACGAAGAGACGCGGTGCGTTGCGCAGCGAGGAACATTCTGGAAAACGACAAGTCAAGACCATGCCAAATTTACATGGACCTGAACTCACGGGCGGGCATCTGCCAACTCTCCACCGAGTTCATATGATCGCTCCACGGCAAACCATATCTTGGCAGCTATTGGGTCCATACTTCTACGGTTCATGGCCTGCATTTTGTCGACAGTCTCGTGAGAAAGCTTTATGGACTTGGAGTATGTGTCTTTGGACGTGTGGAGATGATGAATGATGAGCAGACGGAAATAAATCTCAGCTTCTGGTACAGGATCAGAAGTTGGCTTCGATGAAGGAGGCAAAGATGCAGTAGCATTTGTCCCTGATGTTGTATCTACTTCCATCGACTGTTCCACAGGAGGAGCAGGAGGAAGCCATGATAGTAGAGAATTCTTGACAGCAGAGTCTGCGCAAAGTTGAACATACGAGTAGAAGGTGTGAATGCACCACACACCTTTGGGATAATTCTCCTCGATGGAATCGCGTAGAACCTTGTCATTTATGCGCTTTCGCAGCGCAGTTAGTGAACGTAAGACGCGATGAGTGAGCCGGGTTTCGAGGTCATTGATAGCACGGTCGATGAGCGCGATGTTAGCTTTAATCTCCTGCATCGGTGTTGGTGGTTCTGGCTTCCTTTCATCTTTCTTTTCGTCCTTCTTGTCGGTAGCCTTCACAATCTCGACGTCGGGCATGATGCAAAGGATAGTTAATGACGCGGTGAGTCAGTGACGCGTCCTGTGTTGATGGGTCAGTATTATGTAAGTCTTGAAGACGGTAATAAATCATTCAGGTGGGCAAAGTGCGGTATCGACTCTATAGCTCAGTGGTAGAGCACACGATTGCAGATCGTGCGGTCCCGTGTTCGAACCACGGTGGGGTCTTTTTTGCTCTTCAGGAATAAATTGTTTTCATTATTTTTGTGGAACTTAGCTGAGCTTGAAGACTTAACACGTCATCCAAACCGGGACTGCCACATCTTAACCAAAACCATGGTATGGCAATTCTCTTGGCTGCTTCTTGCAGCAACTGTCCAAGCGGCCTCTTTGTCCCTTCAGTCTCCTCGTTTCACAATTAGCACGCCAGATGCGACCCAGCTGCGCTCGGACACGTATGCACTAATCACATTCCTGCTGTAGTATAACTCATATGCCATACAGCCTGTCCCTGACCAAAAAACCAGAGCCTTTGACTCTTGGCCCAACTGACACTCTTAAGCTTACGTTCCAGATAACGGAAAGTGATGAGGGCAAAGGAGTTCAACCGCACCAAACCTTCCTCCGATTCTATGACAAGGCGTCGGGCGAGGAGGGCATCCAGCCTGTTCGTGTGACCCCAGGAGGAAAGGCTAAATTTGAGCTGGTGCGTTGCATCACTTTTGCTATTGCTAAACGAGTTAGATTTAATCGCCATGTTAGAACATGGCGCGTCCACCTGCGTCCATCCCGCCAACTACGCACAACCCCCTTGAGGTCTCGCTTATTCTGGGCTCCTTCGTGCACGCACCTGCACAATACGACCTTTTTGACCTCTACCTACCTGCCTCCCACACTCCTGCTGAACACCCGGATGAAGCGTCGTTCCATGTCCTCCCCGCCATCAAGCATACCTTCCGCCCTGAACAAAAGTCACCTCCTCAGTTTGTCTCTGCCATATTTGCAGCGACTGTACTGTCGCCTTGGCTCGTGTTGATCGGACTGGTACGTTTTTTGCATCAAATCGATCCTCAGCTGACGGACTTTGTTATCAAAGTGGAGTAAAATTGGCGTCAAGGTCCCAAACCTCTTTTCGCTTAGTATCATACCCTTTACTGCCCTCCTCGGCGCCTTTGAAGTGCTACTTGTCTGGTATTGGGTAGATCTTAAGCTTGGTCAGGTGCTTCTGTACGGAGGTATCCTTGCCATTCCAACCGTGTTCGCTGGTAAGCAAGCTCTGTATGCGACTGGAGAGTGGAGAGCCGGTCGGAAGTAAACGTTGCATACTTGTGACTTTGTACCGTGTTAATCACAGCGTCCCTGATACCTATCGTGGCTTTCCCGTGTGGACAGACAACACACTTAGCATTATGAGGACATGTAGGCAGTGCAGCTTGCCTTTCCCATCAAGGCAGACTATCACCCTCTATGCCCCTTGCCTTGAATAAAATTTGGTATCAATACGTTTGACGCCTGCTGGCGTTAAACACCGTTGCTGATCAGATTGCGGATGTGCATACAAGCATGCACGTGCGTTCACATTCCCAATTTCACAAGGTTGACAGGTAGGGTCGTCCTGCAGCTGATGCAAAATATGAGGGCTTGAGCGACCAGGTGAACTTCGCTCGTGGCATTTTCGGTGTGAGTAGCATCGTTTCTTTCCAGGTCGTTTCTAAACACCGGCGGTAGTTTTCAAGCTCCCTGACCCGCACTGTTCTTGACCTGCGGCGAATGGATCCCAGGAAAAACATATTCTGCATCGCTTACAGTACCATGTACACATCCACAAGACATTGTATTTGTTGATTCCACGAACTTGGGATGCACTACCCTGAACACCGGCCCACACCGCACTGCGTGCTTCTGAGATTTGGCTATCTTTCAGGTAGTGTTCATTTCCTTTCCCCGGAATAACCAAGTAAGATAAAAGTCACAGTTTTTCTTCACCACCAAACAACGAATATTGGATGGGTGTCGTCCCGTTTAAATTTTGGTATCGGACTTGTCTTGAGCAGGGTAGTCCCTTCCCGAAACGATCATTAGGTCCGTACAGCATTCATGAAGAACGAGTTTGATTTCTTGACGATGATCAACAAGTGCATGACAGAAAAGTCCTTACAAGAGCAATTAAGAATACAATCTACGAGAAATCTTTCGCAGATCTTTTATTGGACTTTGCAACGTGTGTGTTTTCATCTCTATTTTGTGCTTAGTACGTGTTCTGATAAAGAGTCTCGCCGCCGACATACCCGGACCCCTCATTTGCGTTACAATGTTTTCCCGATACTAGTATGCACAGCAAGACTGAATTGCGAGAGTGCCATTGGTACTATTGCAGACTCTGGTGTCCACTGTATACAATTGAGCGCACGTTTCCCCACACGGCGTTCTCCAAATGCATGGGGTGTAGGTGGTCTCGGGGCTGGGCATGGCTCGTGCACAAAGAGGACCACCAGCCGTAAATGCCAGGATAATAATCGTCAACAAACTCATCTAGACCGCATCAGTGTCATCGTATATTGTTGGTGAGGTGAAACTTACCGTAAAAAGGGCTATATATTTCAGACCAGAGTGGGTTGGTTGTTCGTCAGTTCTGTGCTCACGCGCTTTATAGGTGCGGCTGGTCAAAGCATTAACCTGGAAGTTTGAGAACAGTAATCAAATCTAGGCAGGCTAAGATTTGTGTCATGCGAATCACTTCACATTGTGAGAAACGCGGAATCTCATCTCTTGACCACGAGATACTTGCACATTCTAGATCTAGTTACGCCGACCTTTGAAGTTCGATGTCGGGTGATTGGATATCTCTATGTCTACCATTCTGCCTCCCTTTTGTAATATTGAAGTCTAGTGATAAACTTTGTTCCTGTTGAGTCGCCCGTCCCTTTCATTCGTCTGGTCCGGTTCAGCAATACGTACAGAACGTATCCCCGTCAGATCTCAGTCGCAAGAGTTGTACCTTCCGGTCATCCACCGTCAGCTATGTCTTCGTCGTCCCTCTCATGTTTTGATGCACGCCCGCGCCTGCCTACCGACGTCCTTGCAAACTCGTGGCGCACGTCAGGAGGAGAGAACGGCAGTAGAAGACAGGAAGGAACAAGAATCGGGGGAGCTAGTTGAGGCGGACAGGCTAATCATATAATTCAAAACAGAGCCAGAGGACGTCCACGTGGATGACCTCGCCGAGAATGTTATGTAATGTCAAGATACATCCTCTTTCTCAATCGACACTTCTACGCGTAAGACAACGTTCGCAGAGCGCGATATACCAGGATCAGGAAGCAAAAATTACAGTGGATTGCGGGCGAGTATTCCCGTTCTCTCGCACGCGGGGTCGCTTATTAATTTATGCGGCATCCAGAGCATCTAGAGATGTACCACACCTTCTCTGAGTTAGCGCACGCCTCGTCCCGTCAATGCCCACTATACCGCACTCGGATCATCAGACGCACGGCACGTACGAGTATCGAAGACATGCATGTTTTTCAATGTTGCTGGTTGAGAATTGCCTCGCGCTCACGGAACCAACCACACGCGTGCTATGTGCCGCGGCAGACAACAATGCATACGTGTACAAAAGACACGAAAAACAGGAACTGCGGTCCATTCACCGCGACAGTTGAATGTCACGTTCGTCAACAAGCATACAGACTAACACATTCGCGAGACAGCCAAACGAAATCCTTCAGGCGCACGCTCATTCATCCAGGGTATGCCACAGCTGCCTGCTGATGAGCTCCCCCGCCTGTTTCTTGAGGGTGACCTGCAACGAGCGTCAGAAAACAGTATGGTACCACGGTCAACGGGCCACGTCACCGATGCATTGTCTTCAAGCTCCAAAGTGTAGTAGCTTTGATCATCCTCGGACGCATGGGGGACTTGGAATCTGCACCTCATCGTCAGTCGATAGGCCTGGCCTGAATCACGCATGATACGCACCCGATATTCGCGCCTACGACGGCCAATTTCCACCAGTGTTGAGTGTCGCTCATGAGGACTTGCATGCTCGACTGCAAGTTGGTGCAAAGTGGTGAGATTGGCATCTGAATCGCTTCTCGCAGACACCTACGTTCCACGACAAGAAATTTCCAGTATCCTTGTTCTGGACCGACCACAGACGCGTCTCCGTTGGTCTGTCATACTTGAACTGCGCGATCCACTATTGATGATGTCACTCGTCAGCGTTAGGGTCGGAACTTCATCTCTAGACGTATCTCTGGACGTCTACTGACCCTCTGATTTTCGGTATGGTTGAAGCTCTGACCTTCGACCTTGCCGTCTTTGGTCATCGCCAACACGAGGGCAGGGTCGTGCACGTTTACAAGGACACCGCTGATAGCCATGATGAATGAGATTTGTTGTTTGTGAGGCAAGAAAGAGAATACGAGAAGTGAGTTGGTCTTCAACCTGTGGTCGCAACATCATTTATATGCGGACTCCTCAGGGTGTAGACTCGGTGACGGGGCACGGCATTCTGCCGTCCCGAGCACCACGCGCACTCCTGAATCGTGCGAGCAGCTCAATGCTGGTGCCAAACCATAGCGCGATGGCAACTCGCTGGCTCGTGACCGCTGCTCTGGAACTGTCATTGCAAAAGGAGCTATCGATCATTCCTCGTTTCCTCCTATGAAGAATGTTTGTCGATGAATTTACCTCATCCCAACACTTTCACTTTCATTGCCGAAGGAGTCGAGCACCATTTCTAGCATTTTATCATTGATTTTTCGGCGGTGACTACATACGACGCCCTGGCACTTCTGTGCTCGCTTGCCAGGAATGTTCTTCGATGGCGTTACAATGAGATCAGTCGCTTTTTCAGCCTAGCGACTCCCACGGCGGCGAATCCCAAATGGCTTTACAAACATTCAAAAGTTTCTTGATTTCGCTTGCTAGGAATGTTCATCGATCGCGGGGCAGGGCCATTACTCGATGTCTCGGCATTGACTACACACTTAGTGCTTCCATTGTCAAAGAAGTCTACTGATTCTCGCTTGCGGAGAATGTTTGCCAATCGCAGCACATTGTCCGCACTTGTCGAATTTGGCATGCGCAACTGTCCCGGCATTGACTACATAGTACTTCCATTGCAAGAGAAGTTCACTAATGCTCGTTTGCGGGAAATGTTTGCCAATCATGGCACATTGTCCGCACTTTCAAGAGATCAGTTGACTTTTCTTATCAACGGGAAGTACAGCACTAGTCGCCGATACTTACAGATCAATATCAATTAATCTTTAGTGAAGTTGGTATTGCAAGTCATGTCACGTCCGCGGCAGGCACGACCGGCCAAAATGAATGAGGCAGTGGACACCAGGTCGCAGAATGAACCGGTTGTTCTTTCAAGACTGGAGAAATTTGTATTTCTGAATTGCACAGAGTGGAGTGCTGCCAGAGACGGTTTAAGTGAGTGATTTATGCGAGAGAACTCACTATCATGAATACCGTTGCCCAGACGTATCAGGTTGTTTTTGGAATTTTCAATTTTAGTGTGAGATACTTTTACGCCGTTTTACCGTCACGTGACGTCCGGATTCGGCCGGATTTCTGGAACCCTTCTGCTTTTGGGCAGGCAAGTCTTTGCATGCTGCTTTGCATTCTTTCTAACCAAACATTAGTTTATTATTCTAGATCTACTATTAAGTCATCTGTTGTTCCAAGGATGCAGGTCAATAATAGTGAAGACAAGAACTTTGAGAACAGATATTATACATGCCATAAAGGCATTTATAACGAGCGAGAGGGTCATGAGGAGTCTGATAGGTAAGAGTCTCAGTCTCTGGAAACAGAACTCTTTATTAACAAAACATGTACCTGATAGGTAAGACTATGTCGTGTCAGCATATGTTTACAATAAGGTATGGTATAGGTACTCACATCTTAGTCTCTGGAAACAGAACTGAGACGCTCATCCGAGTCTGTGTGGGCGCTAGACTTTATACTGTGAGTGTTTTTCTTGCTATATTAGAATGAAACTTGATACATGTGCAGCTTCGGGCCCGATGTCAGCTCTCCCTCATGCCTGCCCCTTCTCCCCTTGTGCTTGCACTCTCTATTTGACATCTCATGCCTTGCCATCAGCTCTCTTGGTCTTCTTCAACTCAGATGATTCGGACGACAACAAGCCATTCAACAAATCCTAGCGGGTGAAACCAAGATGAGGACTGTTGTAAGTCTTTCCTGCTGTATTGTACTGCAAACAGGCCTTTGACAGCATGTTTTTCAGCTCCCAAGGATGATCATAAAGTGAGATGGACAGCACAAGAGTAGTGTTGAGAGGCGCATCGGACACATCGGATTAGGTGCAAGTGCATCGTTTCTCGGACATTTGCTCATCATCGGCCAAACATCATATCAAAAGGTCTCAGATTAATTTTCATTCATTCGTGCTCTACCTGCACATAAAAACAGTCTCTCGTAGAATTAGGCATCTCAGTCTTCCTCCCAGATACTGAGATGTAAGTGCTATTACCTTCATATAATGTACCAGCTACATCAGGAAAATAACAGACTCATTTTTATGACTTAATAGTAACTTAAAACACATTTAAGGGACCAAAAATGAAAATTCAGAGCAATGCGAGAAAAGTCACAAAAGGCCACTCGTCCTCTGATTTCGACTTAAATTTCCTTTATACTTATTTGATGGCCATTTTTCAGACATTATAAATGAGAGAACAGCATCTTAGAAACCATTGCGCCATCTATTAAAAGTCAAAAAAATGTGTAAAAACATGGTATAAAGTAGTAAAAAATTTGAGTCCAAGCAGACACAAAGAGAAACGCAGTGCAAGATAATAGCAAAAACGCAAACCAGAAAGACGCAGACACAGCTCCAAAACCAACAGAAAAGCAGCCTAGGGTAAACACCGGATGAGTAGTACCATGAGGACGATCTGCACAAGCTCTGTTAATGGGAGTCGTTTGGACGCAAAAAATGAGAAAATACTGAAAGCTAAGTTATCAAACCAAGAGGCACACATCGAGTTCTTCAGAGTTGTCGTCAGAAATGAAGTCTTCAAGTTCAGACTTGGATTTCTTGAGAAGCTTCCAGGACATCAAGGTGATATCACTCATGATATCTTTGCCCTTCAGACAAGCCAACTTTGAAAATGAATGTGTAGCTGGGCCCCAATTGTTTACCGAAAATGCATGGGCAGTCGAGGTCTCCTTCCCGGTGGCCTTGTTCAACACCTTCGGTGTTTTGACCATGAGCTTGTGTTGTGCCGGGGGAGCTGCAAGTACATCCTCGATATTAATTACATTGTCTTTGATGAGCTTGAGGGCATGTTCCAACTGCAATAAATTAGCTTCATTTTTGAGCAAAGAAAGAAAAACTTACCGCAGCAGCAGCTATCCCAACAACACCACTAATTCCACTCGCAGTGAGAGCCTCAGTGTTAAGTGCCGGAACATTGGCATGGCCAATTGTTGCTTGGAGGTGGCCGGTGGCCACCAGCTGGAGCATAAACGGGGACCGGAAAGTCTTCATCTTGTCAATGACATCCGGGTCTTCATAAAGGAATGCGAAATCTGAAAGAAGATACTCAGCGAGGTCACTGGGGTTAGCATCATCATTCCAAGCCATAAAGTCAATGATGATGGCAATGGCGGTAGAGCCGAAATTGCTGCGCCACTCAGAGAGGCGTTGATTGGTCTAAAATTAAGTGCGTGAGAGGGGGAAAAATGAATGGTAGACGAGCATACAACACCAAAAACAGAGCCTTGCAAGGAGGGTGCGTACTTGACCTCTGGATAGACAACTTGAAAGATATGGTTAATAGCTTCCAGGAGGGCGTCATCACTAATGTTCCAAAGGTTCGGCTGACTTCCTGCCCACAAATAGATGGTCGGAAGAAATACTTTTGGCCAGCGTCTGTCCTGACAAGCGGGAGGAAGATCTGTGTTCTGGTAGGACGACCGAGCCTTGATCATTTCAACCCAAGGGCCATCATCCACCTGTGTGGACGCCAAGGGAGTGTCTGACAGGTCCGTTTGTTCGGTCTTGACCTTTAACATGGTCTTGACCTTCTTTGCAGGTGGTACCTTAGCATCAGTAGTCATAACAGTAGTCTGGAGAATATAAGTTAAGTCTGATCTGTATGTGAAAAAACAACGCACTGAGGATGTCGTTCGTGGGGCCTTCTTGATATCGACAACTATGGGTTCCTGCATTCCCTGCAGATCGTCCGAGTCAATCAACATTCCAGTGTCACCGACAAAGCTAAGGCTAGCTAGTGAAGACTCCTCCAGGTCATCAAAACTCTCCACGGTCTCGAGGCTGGGCCCTGACGCCAATTTCCATTTCATACCACTTGCGAATTGGGTGGTGTGAGGTTGGCGAGGCTGAGTAGCCGGTGGGGGAATGCCATTTGACTTTTCTGCAGCCAAGTAGCAAGCAGCCTGTAACATACAAAGTTGAGATGACAGTGGGGGATGGTCACTGAATTTTGGCCCAGGATGTAACTATGCATCCCCAAACGACAATGAATGGTCAAATATTATTTTAATGACCAAAAAAAATGCATACCTTGCTGCCAGGTTCGACGTCTTCAGACTCCGAGTCAGTAACATTGTTGAACTGGAGGATAGGCTTTGAAAAGCATTAGTTTGATGAATTAGAGTAGAAAATAACATACCTCAACCGGTTGTCTTCCTGTCTTCATCACTTCAGATGCAGCCTGGCGTTCATATGAGTCGTCGATGTCTTCATCGCTGAATCCTCCAACCAGATCACTGATAGGAATGGTAGACACATCAGAACCTTTTGCTGGAATGGCTTTGGAGCTTATGCTAGTCACGTTTGAAGTAGCCGTTGTCACAGAGTGGGAGAATATAGTGGATGGAGGGACAGAGGCTTTCAAAACAGAAATCAACCGCTGGGAGCCGCCATTTTCGGATGAACAACTTGAAGGACTTGGCACATCTGAAGCCCAGGCCTTGATACGGCCACTATATGAAGATTTGACAGCAGACCTGAATTCCATCATCAAATTAAGGAAGAAGAGTGTCGACTCAGAGAGTAGTAACATGGGAGTTAAGAAGATAACATACATTGGTAAAGAGTTTCCTTTCCTGTCTGCGAGATCAACATGTGCAAGCTCAGCAGCCTTCGAATTCATTGATTTCAAGCGCGCATTAACCGCATCTCTGAGTGATTTCTTTCCAGGCTTCAGTTTTGAAACACCCTCAAATGCTTCAACTTTCATGTCATCCTCCCCAATATTTTCCGTCAGTTGGCCCTGCTTTTCCTGACCTTCTCTCTGATCCCCATGTCCTCCACCCTGCACAGCGGCTGCTGGTTGAGGCTGTGATGAAGACATTGCCTTAGCTGCAACCGGACGTGGTCTAACTGGCTTTGGCTTTCTGACCGCCTCGGAAGCCTGTGCCTGCTCCATTTCGGCCTGTATATTTGCGAGGCGCTCGATACCTTGCAGGGCAGCTAGTTCCTTTGTTTTGAGGTCTTCTTTGAGACGTTTGTTGTCAGCAGCTATTTCAGCTTTGGTATGTCATTTCCTAGTTGCATTGAGCACAACCTGACCAGGATGAGCATCAGCGTTTTTCGCGCGTGTTCTATGAGCAGTGGTTCCGGCTGCTGAAGACATTTTGCTGGGGTCGGTAGAAGCAAGATACAGATAGTGAGGGATACGGTTGGTGATGGGAGAAGTCCAAGTTAGTAGATTTGACTTTCAATGAAATTTGTATGGTTCATGACCAAATAAACATTGTATTTTCGCAGGCCTTCTCAATCAACTTGAGGACGTGAAGTACCTGCCACTGCACATACACCATTCCTACACCCCAAGACACTTATTTCTGTCATTTTCACTCTGTTATAATGCCTGCCAATGCAACAAACTCCCGTCCTCGTCCGGACCACAGTACCCTCCAGCTTCCTTGCGGCCATCCGAGTTGCCAGCGATATTTCAAGACTGCTGCTGGAAGGACGAAACATAGGCTTTCAGCACATCCAATAATCCCACAACCTGTCTTAGCTCCCTGTCCACCTTCTCCTGAACTCTTGGACCCAGGAAATGACCAGCAGTGTGAAGATGATGTTCCTTTCAATGCCAATGAAGTCCCTAGGCCATTGTCTCCACCTGCTGATGTCAATGCAGAATTTTATGGACCAAAAAATCAGTTTTATCGAAATTATCATAAAGGTCTTGATGGTGAGTGATGTTGTGCACTTCATAAAATAAAATTCTAATGTCTGCTTTTGTTTAAAGGTCGACCTTGTGACGAAAATGGCGTGTTTCTTTCTCTGGGCACTCTGCCACTTCCACTTGTTGAGCGTCCTGCTGTCACGAGTTCCTAAATACAAACCATTATTCGTTCCTTAATTCTAAGTCCTTTAAGCGCCCAGTCACAGCGCCTGTTCCTAAGAATATGTTTACTGTTGAAGAAGTTCCTATTATTGCGTCTATTGTAGAATTACCAGAATCACGTGATCTATCGGACAATGCCGAAGATGTTGATGTCATGCCTCGCGACACTCTTGGAATGTTCCAGAGTCTTACTGCGGCTGCGGCACATGTTATGACATCATAGTTATATATAGAATCGTACGATACCTTTAATTATTCTGATTAGTTAGTTAGTTCATACTCAGTTTCGATCTCAGTTTCAATATGTGTATATAGGTAGCTCGTCGTAGTCAGTAGTTCTTTAGTTCAAACCTCTTGTATCTCCAAGTGAGCAATACCAAGACATACCTGCTGCCTACTTCCTCTGTGTGATTATTCTGTTGTTTGAGTCCTAGTCTCTGCCCAGCGTTAATTCGTTATTGGGTTGTGACATTAGGTTTGAACTATAGGAGACTCCGACTCTCGCGTTACACTCTCGCATCTCTCTTTCTTTCGCTTGGTTGTGTTGATACCCTTCACACCATCAACCAAAACAAAGCCGTTATACTTTTGCCCGGCCTAAACTGCCGCGACCTTTTTGATTTCATTCCTTTGCTCATTTGAGCGCATTTTCCTACCTATCATCTTTCTTAGTTAGTAGTCCTATACCAGGCCCTGTCTTACCGCAGCCGCCAGTATACGGAGGTGTTCACGACATTAGGCGTGTCACTGCAACTTTGAGTGCTGGCCCAAAAACCTGCCTGCTCAACGTTACTATAGTTTCATTTTACCTATCCCTTTCTTCATATGCACATAGGCATTCGTTTCGAGTCAATAGCGGAACTGTCTAGACGACAAAACCGTGCTTTTGACCTACGAGGATTTAGAGACATACCCTAGTGAGACTCGCACTTGTAAGCTTCGGCTGGAAGAGTGATAACTTGTCCTAGGCTTGTACCCTCAGAACGGAGATTGCATTGTCCCTAGTTTTTCCCACTCGATCGAGTATAGTTACATATCCTTTTTAGTTAGTATTAGGGAAGCATCAGTTGGGTTGATTAAAGAACCCTTCGATCCTGAAGTACGTGGTAGATCCGATCAGATATCGGGGACCGCTTCAGTTTTCCATTACATAACTTTCTTCTTTTCACCATCATTCCCTTCCGGAAGAGCCCTTACGAGCAGCTCTTCAACAGACATCAGTGAATCGGGTTCCAGAACACAACTGGCACTATGTCTGAATTACCAAATTCTCCTGTACAACCTGCACCGGTGGTATTACCATCTACACCACAGGAAATCGTCGAGTACATTCATATGTCACTTGCAAATCAAGCAGACAGCTTCAGAAGCAGAATCGCGGAACTAGAAGCCAAAAATTTAGCTCTAGAAGAAGCAAACAGACTTCTGGGTGTACACCTAGAAATGCAAGAAGACGAGACTGTGAAAATACAGTCACAACAACCATCATTCAGCTTGGCAGGAGCTAGTTTACTTTCATTGAACTCTTCCCCCTCCATTAAATACTCCAAACCCCAAGACTTCACTGGAGAAAAGGACTCCATAGAACTCATGGTCTGGATATCCCAAGTAGCGCTATACACTGCGCAATGGCCCAACATCCAAGAAGGCCAAAGGATCAGAGTGATGCTTTCATTCATGAAAGGAACTGCAGCCAAATGGGCGCAACCCTACATCGCTAAACTTGGAAAGACCGGAGACGAGAAGTTGACTGTGGAGAAATTCCTGGAAGACTTAGAAGCCATGTGGGGGCAAGAAGATCGTGAAGGAAAAGCGATCAGAGAACTGGAATCCCTTAGACAAGGATCTTCCTCGGTTCCAGAGTACGCAGCCGCTTTCAGACAAAAGGCTGCACACACTTCATTTTCCGATTACGACCAGAGACAGAAGTTCAGAATGGGACTTCAAGACCGCGTCAAAATACAGCTTGCTCATGTCCGTTACAAGGACAAAAACACCATGAAGAAACTGGTGGAACATGCGATCCAAATCAGATGCAATTTCAAAGAGCTAGATGCGGACAAGAAGAAGACAACCTGGTGGACCCCTAAACAAGGCCCCAGGACTCCTGAATACAAACCTGGCCCTAGCAGGGAAAGCGACGCCATGGACGTCGACGCCAACAAACAGCGAGGTACTCCGAGACCTCAAGGAAAGACTGGATCTTTCAAATGTTACCGCTGTGGAGGCAAAGGCCATATGGCTAGAAACTGCAAAGACGCAGTCGCACCAAAAGTGCAGGTGAAGGCTACTACAGTGCCAAAAGAAGAAGACCCTATCCCAAGTTGGTTCAAAGCTTGGGTCAGCTCCAAGGAAGGCAAGGGTTTTTAGAAGGGTCGAAGTCAAAGTCTGCGAACTTAGACCCGAACAATCGTTTCTCTATCCTATCTACGTTCTCGGATGTATCAGAAGTATATATTAAATCCAAATCTGAACATTTTTACATTCCAATCACAGTTGAAGGGAAAGAACCTGACAAGCAGATGTGAAAGCACTGGTAGATTGCGGTGCATCAACATTATTTATTAGCGAGAAATTTGTGAAAAAGAACGAAGTCCGGTGCCATAAATTATTAAGGCCCATTCCGGTTAAAAATATTGATGGCTCGTTAAATGCCGCTGGATCGATGACTCATTACGCTGAATTAGGTCTAAAGATCGGTGACCATGTTGAGGATCAAGCAGCCTTCATGGTTACGGACTTAGGAAGCGATGATGTTATTATTGGCATAGATTGGCTAAGATATCACAACCCGGAAATAGATTGGAACGCTGGACATTTTGCACTTTCTCATTGCCCGGTTAAATGTATTACTAAAAAAGAACAAAGACAAAAAAATAAAGAAAAAAGAAAAGAACAAAAAAAGATAGAAGAGGTGCCAGATCTGATTCCCACAGAAGAGGATGACGAAGAAAACATGGCGATGAAGAGGGCGACGGTCGAGGAAATAGAAGATGAAGAGTATCCTGGAGAATGGATCAAGTACAAGGCTTCGGTTGCTATGGAGCAGAAGGTCACAGAAGAAGCGACGAAGGTGAAGAAATCAGTTGAAGAGATGGTTCCCGATTGGCTTCACGATTACCTGGGAGTTTTCTCAAAAGAAGAATCTAAGCGCTTCCCTGAAAGAAAAAAGTGGGATCATGCGATAGATCTTAAAGATGATGGCGATCTTCCGCCGAATGCGAAACCCTATCCTTTGTCACCTAAAGAGATGGACACTTTGAAAGATTGGTTAAAAGCCGAGACTGCACTGGGACGTATTAGAGATTCACAATCTCCAGTGGCAGCACCTTTCTTCTTTGTGGCCAAAAAAGATGGCAAGTTAAGACCGGTAATGGACTACAGAAAGCTCAATGAGAAGACAGTTAAAAATGCATACCCGCTACCGAGATCTCAAGATTTGATTGATGCTTTAACCGGTGCCACGATGTACTCCAAGATGGATGTAAGATGGGGGTACAATAATATTCGCATGAAAGAAGGAGATGAGTGGAAGGCGGCCTTCAAAACGCCGTTTGGTCACCACGAACCAACCGTAATGTACTTCGGTTTAACAAACTCCCCTGCCACGTTTCAAACCATGATGAACAAGATATTCAGAGATTTAATTGATGGAAAGACCGTAGTTGTCTATATCGATGATATCCTCATGTTTACGAATGGCAATAGGGAGCAACACCGAAAGGTTGTACGAGAGGTACTGAAACGACTAAAAGAGAATGATCTGTATCTGAAGCCTGAAAAGTGTAGCTTCGAACAGACAGAAGTCGAGTTCCTTGGGTTGATAGTGGAGAAGGGTGGTGTTTGAATGGACCCTGTGAAAGTAGAAGGAGTAATGAAATGGCCTGTACCCAAATGCATTAAAGACATACATACAAGCATTTATGGGCTTCGCCAACTTCTACAGAAGATTTATCTTCGGGTTTTCGGACATCGCTAGACCAATGAATGATTTATTACAAAAGGATGTCAAATGGGACTGGACGGAGAAACAGCAAGATGCTTTTGATGAACTGAAGTCAAGGTTTACATCAGCTCCGATCCTAGTAATGCCTGACGTTGAGAAAAAGATGAAAATAGAAACCGATGCTTCTGATTACGCAACTGGAGCGGTTCTATCTCAACTGATGGAAGATGACCTATGGCACCCCGTGGCGTATTACTCTAAGTCAATGAACGATGCAGAAAGAAATTATGACATCCATGACAAAGAGTTACTCACAATCATTCGAGCGTTGGAGGAGTGGAGGCACTATGTGCAGGGAAAACCTCACCATGTGGAGATCTGGACGGATCACAAAAATCTCGAGTACTTTATGATGAGCCAAAAGTTGACAAGAAGGCAAGCCAGATGGAGTTTGTTCCTGGCGGAGTATGAATTTACGCTCCAACATAAGCCTGGTGTAGTCAACGATAAGGCCGATAAGCTTTCTCGGAGAGAAGACCACAGAGGGGGGGTAGAAAACGACAATTCTGATCGTATTTTGTTAAAACCGGAGTTTTTTACTGTAAAAGCTGCTAAAAGAGGTCAAGTTCTAGTGCAAGGAGAAAAACAATTGCTGAGAAAGATAAGGCAATGCACAGAATGAGAACCTGAAGTCGCCAAAGTGCTACAAACGCTAAAAGCAGCACCGGTACAATTACGTAGAGGAGTCGAAGAGTGGAATGTGGAGGATGGATTGGTGTTATTCCGAGGACTGGTTTACGTTCCAAACGATAAAGAGATCCGCCGAGAGATATTGGAGTTGTTTCACGACTCTCCACCGGCTGGACACCCTGGACGTGCCAAAACCTTAGAATTGATTTCCAGAAATTATTGGTGGCCTTCAATGACGAAGTATGTCCATGATTACGTAGATGGCTGTGATAGATGCAGAGCAACGAAGATTCACCCAACGCAACCACATGGTCCGCTTAAACCAAATGAAATACCAGTGGGACCTTGGCAATCAATCACTTGTGATTTGATAGTGGATTTGCCTAAAAGCGAAGGGTTCGACTCTATTTTTGTTGTCGTTGATCGATACACGAAACAAACGCACATCATGCCTACGAAAAAGGAAGTTGACGCTCGAGGAATCGCGAAACTTTTCTTAGATAACGTATGGAAACACCATGGAACTCCGAAACAGGTGATATCGGACAGAGGGACACAATTTGTTTCCAAGTTTATGGGACAAGTGTCGAAACGCCTAGGCATAAAATGGAACATGTCAACGGCTTATCATCCTCAGACAGACGGACAAACAGAGAGAATAAATCAAGAAGTAGAGCAATATCTGAGAATGTTCACGTCTTACCGCCAAAATGATTGGGTAGACTGGCTTCTGATAGCAGAATTCGCTCACAACAACTCTGTCACTGTAATGGGTCATAGTCCATTCAAAGTACTCTACGGATACGATCCAGAGTTTACTTTTTCACCAATTTCCAATTCTAAAGTACCTGCAGCTGATGAACGAGTGGATGTAATGAAAGAGGCGAAGGAAGACACAGAAAGTATGCTGCAGATGGCAAATGAACAGATGAAGAGATTCTATGATAAAGGAGTAAAAGACGCACCACAATTCAAGAAAGGAGATCTGGTCTGGCTCAACGCCAAAAATATCCGTCAAAAAAGACCAAATAAGAAACTCTCCGATCGACGACTTGGTCCGTTTGAAGTGCTAGAGAAGACGGGTGACATAAATTACCGCCTAAATCTTCCAGCAAAATATCAGATTCATCTGGTATTCCATGTAGAATTACTCACTCCGCATTCCCCCTCAACCTTAGTCCAAAGACCTCCACATCATCGTCCGCCGCCAGAGATCTTATCAGAAGGCGATTCCGAATGGACAGTACGAAAAGTCCTAGACTCGAGACTGCACAGATCAAAACTCCAATACCTAGTAGAGTGGGAAGGATATCCAATAGAAGAAGCGACATGGGAACCTGAGGAAAACCTTGAGAATGCACGGTTGAAAGTTCAAGAATTTCACCGGCAAAATCTGAAAGCATTGAATCCCTGCAAAATTAACAAGTCGGTGTTTGAAACCCAAGAGTTTTTGGAATGGCGCAAGAAGTTTATTCGTCCTAGTTTCATTCGCGATGATGCTCATCCTAGAGAGGGGGTAATGTCACAAGTTCCAAATACAAACCATTATTCGTTCCTTAATTCTAAGTCCTTTAAGCGCCCAGTCACAGCGCCTGTTCCTAAGAATATGTTTACTGTTGAAGAAGTTCCTATTATTGCATCTATTGTAGAATTACCAGAATCATGTGATCTATCGGACAATGCCGAAGATGTTGATGTCATGCCTCGCGACACTCTTGGAATGTTCCAGAGTCTTACTGCGGCTGCGGCACATGTTATGACATCATAGTTATATATAGAATCGTACGATACCTTTAATTATTCTGATTAGTTAGTTAGTTCATACTCAGTTTCGATCTCAGTTTCAATATGTGTATATAGGTAGCTCGTCGTAGTCAGTAGTTCTTTAGTTCAAACCTCTTGTATCTCCAAGTGAGCAATACCAAGACATACCTGCTGCCTACTTCCTCTGTGTGATTATTCTGTTGTTTGAGTCCTAGTCTCTGCCCAGCGTTAATTCGTTATTGGGTTGTGACACCTGCTGATGACTGGACACCATTTCGTAATCGGATTGAATTCGAAGCTGCCGAATTCTTATTTTGCAAAGATCAAATGTCTGCCTCCCATATTGACACCTTACTTATACACTATCGCATACAGGACAAAATTTCCAAAGATCCTGACACAGTTGGGGCAACCTTTGTTCCCATTATTCTCGGCAGTGATAAGACAACCGTCTCAGTTGGCACGGGCAACAATGAATATTACCCGCTATATCTTTCTATCGGCAATGTTTCGAAACAATGTCCGTCGTGCACACCGAGACGCGATTGCTGTCATAGGATTTCTTGCCATGCCAAAAAGTAAGGTTCATTCAATTTTCATGCTAATCACAGGTGCTAACAGTAGGTTTTATATAAAGCTGCATGAGTGCACACTGAGGATCCGAAGTTCCGAAAGTTTCGTCATCAGCTATTTCACTCTTCCCTTTCGAAAATTCTTCAGCCCCTCAAGCCTGGAATGACGAAACCTGAAGTGGCTCGTTTTGGAGATGGTGAAGGTACAACAATTCAGATGGTGAGTCTGAACAATGTTGGGTCTTGCAGAACCTAGCTGCTATTCGACCCTAAAGGGTTTCTAGGACTAGGCTTAAGGCTCAGAGGAGAGGAAATATCATAGAAACTTGGTCAGCCCTCAGACCCATACTGGTAACTGGTGAAAAGATTACTTGCTTATGTAAGCTACAAAAGTGCCAACATAAGGTAAGGTAAAAACAGTCTCTACAAGCCCAGCCAGAAATGAATCCCTACAACAGTCACTTCCGTCATGTTGTCTATGGACTCGGACCCTATATTGCTGATTATGAAGAACAGGTCCTGTTGGGATGCATCGTCAAACACTGGTGTGACTGGTGTGCAAGGTAAGTATCTCCAAGCCTTACACTACTACTTGTTCCTCATCAACTGGCAACATGTTTATAGGTGTCTTGCATCACATCTTAACCTTGATGATGATGCCTTGGACTGTTGCCGCAAATATGTGGATGCTCTGGTGGAGGAAGGTACTCTATTAGAGATCTGGGATGATTATGGAATTGTTGGTGACATCGTGGTGAGTACATTTTCTTTTGGATACGGTTATTGAATTGCTGGACACCATCGTCCAGCATGAGGATCAGTGTCTCTCGACGCTTTTTCATTTATGTTTTGTCTGCCAATCTTCTCTTTTCAAGTTGTGCTAACTTCATTTAACTTCCCAGCCATTTACCAATGATTTCCCCTGCGCTGATATAAACCGACTCATCGCCCCTGATCTCCTTCACCAGCTGATCAAGGGAGCTTTCAAGGACCACCTTGTAGATTGGGTGGAGAAATATTTGTTACTGACCCATGGAAAACACGAAGCTCAACGAATCATGGACGACATTGACAGAAGGTATGTTTCATTTTTTGTCGTGAGACTCAATCATTCATCATGATATACAACAGAATTGCGGCTGTTGCATCCTTCACAGGTTTACAATGTTTTCCTGAGGGACTGAGGGTTCAAACAATGGACCGGAGACGACTCAAAGGCACTTATGAAGGTTCAATTTTCTTAAGTTTCATTTCTTGCTGCTCATTGTTGGCAGGTGTATTTGCCTGCAATTGAGGGCCACCTTCCACAGGACAATGTACGCGCCTTTCGCGCACTTTTAGAGTTTTGTTACCTTGTCCGCCGCAACATCATCACAGAGAAGACCCTCACTGAAATTCAAGATGTGCTCGCACGATTCCACCACTACCGTGAAGCATTTCGAGATGCAGGTGTTGTTCCCACATTTTCCTTACCACATCAGCACTCGCTCAAGCATTATATCCAACTTTTCGGTGCCCCGAACAGCTTGTGCTCATTGATTACCGAGAGCAAGCATATCAAGGCTGTAAAGGAGCCTTGGAGATGCTTGAGTCGCTTCAATGCACTTGGTCAAATGTTGTGGACCAACTAGTGGCTGGATAAGCTCGCTGCTTTACGTGTCGACTTCACCAGGTGCAATATGTTGAGCGGTACATGTTTATCTGCAGTCGTGATGGCTCTTTGTATGTATCAAAATTTATTTGCCAAGTCAATAACACTAATTTTTCCTTTGACAGGACAATTTCAAGACCTTGATGACGCAGGAGGTGGCCATGCTTGTGCCACTGACAGTGCACCTCCAAATGGCTCGAACGCCAATGTTCTGGATGTGGATGAAGGTCACGACGACGGTGAAGTGGACGATGAGTCTACAGTGCTACAAGCAGATGTCCAGCTTGCACTAACACCCCGTGCGTTTATCAGATTGATACCTCCCGTTCATTGCTAATATTGCTTTAGAACGACAACGTGCCAAAACAATTGCTGCGCTCGCAGCAGAATTAAATATCACACATTTACCCAACCTCCTCCAACAGTTCCTCTTCGAACAGAAGCATCCGAATGACACTCGAGACATCTCTGAAGTTTCAGAGTTCCACTTCCCTCATTATGACGGTGGAATATCTGTCTTCAACTCCGCTTCATCAAGATTTTATTCACCGAGTGATCTCAGTGGCATTGGGGGCATGCGCACAGAATACGTTCGTGCATGTCGTCAGTGGCGAAACGGACATGCTCGCAATGACTGCGTGTTCGTTAGCACGAAACCAGAGCTCAAGGGCATGCAGGGATTTGACATTGCTCGTGTTCTGTGTGTTTTTTCCTTTACTTTTCAAGGAATGACTTACCCCTGCGCAGTTATTCGGTGGTTCGACACTGTTGGCGACTCTCCTGATGAGGACACTGGGATGTGGATTGTGCGGCCAGCCTATCGTGCTAATCACTCCCTGCATATGTCTATTATTCACATTGATTTGATTTATCGCGCAGCACATTTAATTCCAGTCTATGGTGCACAGTTTGTTTCTCATGACCTCAAGTATTACCAGTCTTATGATAGTTTCCGAGCTTACTATGTTAATAAGTATGCAGATCATCACGCCTTTGAAATTGCTTTCTAATTTACTTCACACTTTTTTCGAGCTTTATATTTGTTGGATCTTTGCATACAATGTCATCTCTTTTTGCATCTTTTTCGTCTTACCCGCCTGAATTACCATTTCGTAAATATATCCGACTTTTCAGAGATTCGCTTCCAGAGGAAAAAGCTGCCAAAAGGTACAATAAGTTACCTAAGTGCAATCAAGAGGTCCGTTATTTTCCTAATGACTACTAACAAAGACTTAGTACATATTTGTTCTAGGTACTTATAGCACCTGGAGTCTTCCTCCCAGATACTGAGATTACATATTTGTTCTAGCTCTTGTCTCAGCCACGTGACCCTGTCTAAGAAACCTACAAGTAGAGATAAGTGTTTAAGTGTGTCAGCTCTTGGGCCAGGTGAAATTGATGCATGTATGGTTGTGACAGGCCTGTGACACTGTAACAAATTCTAAACAACTTTGGATTTTAGTTAATGATCAACATATGAGTGTCTACCTACATGTGTACAGGCTCTATAGTGCTGTATTCACTTCTCACCAAATCTGTGGTGCTTGTCAAGTTGTCCTCTGTCCATACTACTAGTATGCATCTTTCCTGTAGCATCTGCCTCATGCTGACAATCACTAGTGCTGCTGTGGTCCAGTCCTGAACCATGGTTCGAACTGGACTTTTGGTCCAGTTCTCCTGTGATTTGGTCCATGGTCCAGGTGTCAGCCAGAACCGGACCATAATATGGTTCTTGGTTCTGGCATTGGGCAAATGGTTCGACTTTGGTTCGGACCTGGTCCCAAACTGTTCTGAACCACGAACCGAAAGAAGCTTGCCACATTGTTGAAGTGTGCTTTGACACTTCCTTTGATGATCCACTTTGGCCTCAGGGATTCTCAAGCTTCAAGATTTACTTGTTTCCATCAAATGCAGAGGCCCATTGACAAGGTAAGTCATGATATGCACTGTTCAAACTGACGAATCAGACCACACATCTCATTGTGCAACTCCTCCTGCAAGCCCATCGTCCCACTCTCATGAAACCACTGCCTCCACCCCTAAAATCAATGCGCCAACAAAGACAAAGGCAACCAAAACCACTGAGTTTGAGGTGTTAGGTGAGTGACTTCTTCATCTTCAATTATCTTGCACCCATTTTCTCATGCTTGCTCTCTCATACCTGTCCTCTTGTGCCCATTCTCTCATGCTAACTCTCTCCCACCTGTTCTCTCATGCCATGCCCCATCTTTCATGCCCTCCTACTTCTTGATATTGAGACCATTGACTGCGGCACCACAACAAGTCCTACCTATGTTTTTTTTTGCTCATTGTAAATAAATTTGGTTCAGTTCACATTCAAACCTGAAAATGACCAGACCTGACCATTCTGAACCATTTGCCAAGGTCCAGTTCGAGGTTTGTCAAGTCTGGTAGAACCAGACCTAGGTCCAGTTCTTGGTTCTCGCTCAACCCTCTGTGAACCGGTGTATAAACAACAACACTGTGAGGAACAAATGAAGCTCCTGACTGTATCTGTAAATAGTTGTAAGGTCGCGTGTTGCCTAGTCTGCGTTACTTGAGGAGACAAGTGCGTTCGACCCTAAAGGGGAAGCAAGTGGAGCAAAGATCTAGAGGTACGCGCTGAAGCGAAGCGTGAGAAAGCGCAGGTGCGTGCAAGGCACGAAGGTACGGGAAAGTGCGTGCATGTATGTGGAAATGAGAGACTAAGCTTAAGTGATGATATAAAGCAAGATAAGAGATGTGAGATGCGATGTGCTAATGAATAGATTTTTACTGCGACTTTCTAGGTATTAAGTATGTAAGTAAAGTTGGGTGAAAAGGTAAGTAAGTAATAGTATGTACTGCTGGCGCTTATATAGGGTGCCTAAGCGCTGTCATGCGGAGCCGAAGCGCTACTGAGTAGGTATGTAAAGATATATATGAGTGAGAATCCATGATAAAAATAAAGGTGGAATGATATGCTAATAAGAGAGATGGAAATATATGCACTAGAGGGCTTGGTGGACAGTGGATGGATGCTTCTGGATGGCTGGCGCTATAGGGCGCTCAAGCACGGGAACACGCGCGCACATATACATCGTGAAGTGCGGTGACCTGCACCAAACCGGTTCGGTGCATGGACGACCAATACTCTCTCATGAGTCAAATACCCTGAAATACCACTATGAAACCCTTTTCCCTTTTATCTGAAGTTGGACTGAGGCTAAGGGAATATTTTTTTGCTTTTCTTTTTATTTTTCAAGTCTATATGCCAGCAGCCTGAATATTTTAGTACATTTAATTCTGCAATGAGTTTTGCTTAGTCAGCCATGGTGATGACTCAGACAAAATCCCACACATGTCAGGTGACTGTGAAAAATATTTCCCACATATGTTGTCCTGGAAAAACATTAGTAAACCCCTAAATACTAGGCTCACGTCATTCTCACCCTTCAAACAAAGCAAAGCAAAGACAGCCATGCACAGGATTCATATCATGTGACACTTCTTACTCTCCTTCTGGATTTGTCATCAGGGGTTGGACAGGTCACATGACTTAGCAAATACCCAATGACTCACTATGACTCCCTCTGAATATATGACTCACTATGACTCACTCTAGATACTTACTATGACTCACTATGACTCACCTTGCACATATGACTCATTATGACTCTTGATGACTCTTGAATACACTAGTAGCACAGCCACATTTATTGTGTATATAATGACCTCAGTTTTTGAAATAATAACAAGCAGATACCAGCAGGTAGTAGGGTGTTTCTCAGCCCAACTAACACTAAGTTGTGAAGTAAGGTGTGATAAGTGTCAGTACCAGTGTCAAGAACTGTTTCAAGACTGAGAGGAACACTCTCAAGAGACAGTAATACTGCAAGCTCATCATACTGAACGACCCGCTGTGAGCTCACTGTGTGCAACAACCAGCAAGCAAGGTACAGCCACACTTTTATTCTGATTTCTATTATTCTTTTTCTTTTCTTTTACTTTCACTGACCTTTGGTGTTCTTTGTCCAAAAATACTGATCCAAAATATTCGTGTTGTCTCTACGTCCACCTAAGACTCAGTAGTAGCATAGTGGGGAGACTTTAGGAATTGATAGTGAAGCTTGACCTCACTCATCTGAGTAGTGATACTGAGCCAAGATATTCTGTGCCTGCTAGGCTTTAGCCATTGAAGAGGGGACTTGGTAGTAAACCCAAGGACGTCCGTTCCTGAGTCTGTTTGAATACTCAAAGAAGAGTTCCTTGACAGCAGGTTCAATATTGAGCTAAGAGTTCTACAATAAAGCATTTGACTAGTCTTGACCTTTGATTCTACCTGTTTTGTGCTGAGGGGGTTTATCATTGTAATTCTGCACCATTTCTTTGGAGTATAGTTGGTACGAGGCACTGTACGAGGCACTGTTGTTGAAAGGGAACTTGAGGAAGAATCCTGTATATTCTTTTGGTCATCGCCATACTGTCAGGCTGACCATTGTTTGTTTGTTTTCCTGTCAAAGTCCATAGATTGGATTGACCATCATATTACTGATCTTGCAGAAGTATCCTTAGCTGAACATACCTTGGGTAGTATACAACTAGCCACCCACGAACGACCACAGTTATCAGTCATTGGTATTTGTCTGAATCGCTGACCGTGGAGATATTTGTTTTATAGGTGTTTATCTATAGATCATCTATCTAAGAAGACAGCTGGGAAGAGTGTGCGCATGGCGCGGGAAAGCTGCGCCTCATATAGGAATAGCTGTGGATAGCACATAGAGTGGTGCTGCAAGTTTGTGCTATGTACTCCCTAGTGGAAACTGCCATATCACGCTGAAGGTACAACAATTCAGATGGTGAGTCTGAACAATATGTTGGGTCTTGCAGAACCTAGCTGCTATTCGACCCTAAAGGGTTTCTGGACTAGGCTTAAGGCTCAGAGGAGAGGAAATATCATAGAAAACTGCTGAGCACTCAGACTCATACTGATAACTGGTGAAAAGATTGCTTGATTATGTAAGCTACAAAAGTGCCAACATAAGGTAAGGTAAAAACAGTCTCTACAAGCCCAACCAGAAATGAATCCCTACAACGCCATAAGAGGCATGAGTCTCTACACTGGACTGAACCAGACCACAGCAGCACTAACAATCACAACCTGCATTCAGTCTTCCCGAGTTGATAGAGGAAGCCTCGTCCATCCACGCACATACACACCGATCCATAGCACAACCATTCAAGACTCACAGACATTTCACCACCCCCACACATGCACGCACACAAACTAGCTTCGAAGTTCTGTCTCTTAGCACTAGCACTGTCCTCCTCATAGATTTGTTTGTTTGTTGTGGATTCACACGCAGCTGGTGGGACTCAACAAGATAATTTGATTTGTTTGGCAAATCGTTCATCAAAAGGAACTCGAAACATAGATTGCATTAGCTGGCAATGAGAAAGAATGCAAAAGCAGCACACAAAGACTTGCCTGCCCAAAAGCAGAAGGGTTCCAGAAATCCAGCCGAATCCAGATGTCATGTGATGGTAAAACAGCATAAAAGTATCTCACACTAAAATTGAAAATTCCAAAAACAACCTGATATGTCTGGGCAACGGTACATGAACTAATACTATACTATACTGAAGACTGAACCAGATGGAAGTGCACGCCCGTGGCTGTTTTCGTCAATTGGAGACTGCATTGCATCCTTTGCATGTTGGTTAAAATAAATATAGATATAGATATGCATTCTGGATAATTCTAATGAGAAACCCCGACATCAACAGGAATGTTGAGTAGAAACCTCTGCTTACCTAATGAAGACCGCTGTTTGTCTCCGCTGTGCACACCGGTACTCAATGTTCAACATCGTCAGCCTCAATCATCAAGCTGATAGGTATGTCTTAGATTTTTTTAAAGTTCTATTTAACATTTGTAACTACAAACTAGGTATCGAGTTTCGTCGTTGGATTGTGAGTCTGTCGATCCTTATTTGAGCAAGAGCCACGCTGATCCAACTCGTTGCCTGCCATTCACAGGAAGTGAGTGTGTCGGTCCTCGTTTCAGCCAGAGCCATGCTGATCCAAGTCGTTGTCCGCTGTTCGCAGGTAGTGAGTGTGTCAATCGTCGTTTGAGCAACTGCCATGCTGATCCAAGTTGTTATCTGCTGTTTGCAGGAAGTGAGTGTGTCGAACCTCCGAGCTCGAGCCATGCTGATCCAAGTGATTGTCTGCTGTTCACAGTGGGTGAGTGTGTTGATCCTCCTTCGAGCTCGAGCCATGCTGATTCAAGTCGTTGTCTGCTGTTCGCAGCGGGTGAGTGTGTTGATGCTCCTTTGAGCTCGAGCCATGCTGATCGAAGTCATTGTCCACCATTCACAGTGTGTCGATCCTCCTTCAAGGGGTCACCGTACGTCTTTTCTATAAATCCACTCGCATGTTTCACTAATGTAGCTTTATTAGCTTATGCTCATCCACACATGTTCACACTTGTATGTGCTTGTCCGCACTCGTTCTTGCTGCAACAGGTATGGCTTTGCTAATCTAAGCCAGGGATTAGGTATTTGCGGTCAATTGTAGCTATACAATAATTACTTTTGTGTGTGTATTCTATGTAATCAAATATCAGTTGTTTTTTCTTGTAACATCGTCTGACCATTGTGGGTGATTTGCAATGCAAAGTTCGAAATACATTTTCTGGAAGTTTGGCTTTTCTCAAACTCTGTAGCACAAAAATCACAATATGGTTGGTGTCAATAACCTGTCAATAACTACCCTGGGGATACCCTAGGTTAATAACATGTCCAAAACTTGGCGGTGAGCACTGAGAACATACTGAAAATTAAGTACCAGACAAACAAACTTAGTCAACACACAAGCATTATTGCAGCAATTCCTAGTTCTAATACTACCCACCAGATAAATGGTGCTCTCGAACTGATCTACTCACACTGTGGCCCTTTTTAGCAGTACGGCGCTGGTTGAGTGTGGCGGACCAGCGGTGGGCCCCGGCCGTCAGAAACCCTGCTACAGTATTGAAAGTCAGAGGGGTTTCTGCTGACTAAGCAAGTACCCCCAGGTAAGGGGGTTTCTCATTAGAATTATCCCGCGTTCTCTAATAAAATTTCTGGGTACACAGAACAAACATCGATCAGACTTCAAAATTTATCGCGGCAAATCGGCAACTCGAACCGTAGCCTATCGTCCACCATAACATGTCACGTTCGAATTTCTGTTCTTCCGTAGGTAATGGAGGCAGACGATAGAAGAAGCTGCAAACCTTCATATTTCTGATACACCTGTGTACAGCCTCAACGTTCAACACTCGTATCGATGGCATTCCTGGAGCTTCTCGTACTATTACTAACCCTACTAGTGAGGCAAGATGAGCACTTAGGGGTTCCATATTAGATTCGTGGCTTCACCGTGAGTCACCAGTTACTCTCTCTCTTCTCCCACCAGTAACATGGCTCAATATTCAACAGAAGATCAATCTAGTCTTGAATATATCATCAATCACGTATTTCTCCCCCTCAAGTTGCCACAAGGGAGTGACCAGTCCCTTGAGAACGACCTGGCCTTATCTGAAGCAGTATTCAATGCTGCTATCACGTTCAGCGACCAGCTACCGTCCGATAAGCTGCGGCTTTGGACGAACATCTTGAAAATGCTCAATAATCTTAAAGATTCAATCAGATTCAGTGTCATGTCTGCAGAAGAGGTCGAACATCAAATCAACACTATGGAAACTGAAAGTCTGTCACATCGGGGTGAACGATATTTAAAAGAGGTTTATATGTTGTACAAAATGTGAAGACAATATTTAATATTTAAACTGACATAAAGATGGGTGCACGACTTCAAATTTTGGTGGTGTTTTGTGTGTCATCCAAAATATCAAATATTCACAACCATATTCCCACAGACAATATGTCAACAAATATAATAAATATAATCAGATTTTCCATGTCTGCTTCAATTTAAAGTTTGATTCTTACATAAAACTTTGGAGAAAACTTGAAGTTTTGCCAAAGCTTGACATTTAAATCGAGTTTTAATGTCATGTCATCTGTAAAACTTCAAGTTTTCTCCAAAGTTTTACATGGAAATTGAACTTTAAGTTGAAGCAGACATGAAAAATCTGACTATATTTCTTATGTTTGTTGACATATTGTCTGTGGGAATATGGTTGTGAATATTTGATATTTTGGATTACACACAAAACACCACCAAAATTTGAAGTCGTGCACCCATCTTTATGTTAGTTTAAATATTAAATATTGTCTTCACATTTTGTACAACATATAAACCTCTTTTAAATATCGTTCACCCCAATGTGTGTTGTTTTCATTTACATTCTTTTTCTGTACTGAGTATCAATTTTCAGATGTACTTGTATATATGATTCGCGCGCAAAATGCTGCGGTTGTCATGAGAAAACTCGAACCCGAAACTATATTTGAGTCATTTGAGGTCTCTCCTGACCCCACCGCAGTGATGGGCGCCAAGGGAAAGCTGATATGTTCTTATCCTGGACCTGCTATCACGGTCCCAGATATGAACATTGACAATGCTACCTTTCCTGCCGAGCTGGCAAATTTTCTCGTTCACATGGATCAAGATGTCCTCGATGCAGCAGCGACGAGGAAAAAGGCTAAATCCATTGTTCTCGAAGAGAGGGACACCACGCATCCACGGTATATCACAGAGCTCCTGACTGGTATATTGCGTGGCCTCAGGAGCATTGCTGATGTTCCTCGCATCCGCAAGCGCATCGGAGATGATGTGCTGTGGGACAGCGTGAAGTTGCCATGGAGGTGGTCTCCACTCTGGCTTGTCATTCGCATTGCCTTACAGACGACTCTGGAGCGCAGTGCTCTCAGACAAGCGACGTATAAGTCGTTCATGCTGTTCTTCATGGCGAGGCTCACGACCCTCGCCCTCAACCATGACTTATCGAACGACATTCTACACTTCATGTCAGCAAAGATTGCGCGCCGTCTTTTCAAGCTTGGATTCTCTTCATCTTCGGAGTTGTCGCAGATAGTCAGTAAGGTCACCGGTGATGTGAGGAGTGTCCTAGAGGAAAGATGGGGGTCTGTTCAGAACGCACAACGTGCCTCGCCTCTTTGGGCTCCGGAGACCCTCCGAATTTTGCGAGATACCCATCTTTCCTTGAACACGAGCCGAGAGTACATCTGCCAAGCTTTACAGAACCAGCATTCCTCCAAAACAACCTTACCTAACCCCAGCCATCACAAGCGTGGGACAGTTGATAATTTCCTTGATGCCGAAGCTAGTTTCTTGGTAGCTGCTCATGCTGCAGAACCGTCTCTTGCACTTGCAGACTTCGAGACTGCCGTTAGATTAGGGATTGACGACTGGGTGACACGCATTCTATTCCAGAGTACCGATTCTGCGTGTGTCTCGATCGAGGCGTGTGCCTCTGCATACTCTTCGAGAGCGCTTACGGCTTATAATGGAAACCCGGAGAATTTGTCTATTATGTTTCTCACCCTTTTCGAGCTCTGGGTAGCGATGGATAAGATCGTCGTTGGACAAATCTCACTTTTGGCAGAATATTCCCCCAAAATCCCATTGACGCTTTGGGAGTGTCTTTTGGTCCGCAAAGCTTCCGCCCTTGATCGTTTGAAGCCATTGCATGCCTACCCGAAGGCTCGTCATTGCCAAGCTTCCAGTCATCTGTCGGCATTCTCATTTACCAATGATGACAAGTCGTTCGCGGCGCGATATTTTCATCAGTCATCCAAGCTGCAGAGTTTGAAGGATGACATCGAGGCAGAAGCTCAGGACGCTCGGGAGAAGAAGTTGATCGAGCTCCAGACCATGAACCAGAGGTACACAGACAAAGAGAAGCTCGCAGAAAGTTTATTGCATACGTACGAGGTCTCCACATGCGGCAGGCAAACACATAAGCTCAAACACTGTCACAAGTGTCGCCTGGAAAAGGAGATGCAATCGATGACTATTGCGGTCCATGAGTGGCCACTACCAGCCTGTGACAAGGAGGCGATCGTGGTGGTGTTTGAGCTAGGATGCCCCATCGTGTTGGACATGTGGAGATCTACGACGTTCCATGTCCTTGTTGATGTCTGCACTCCACAAGAAGAAATCTTGCACACTAACGCCTTCATAACACTGCCGGACTATCCTGCACTGCAGCATTATCGTCAGTGCCATCCAAGGCAAAGGCTCACTTTGGCGTCGAATGCCAAGCCTTTCTCCGATTGTCATTACAGCGACATTCCCATTCCTGCACTGGACACCAAAGTCTGTGTGGATAATGGACTCCAATTTCAGCCTTTCGACACAACCACAGGTGCATGGGTGGCAGACGTACTGCTACGATGGGATGCCACCAAGTTGTGCACTTTCCTGCTTCCGAAGGGACCATATAATGGTATGCAGCAGTACCTTGCGGGGACATCCCACATGTCAAACGAGGTCGTGGCCAATCAGGCGGATTGTCACAAAGACCTAACCATTCATGAATCCATGGCATTTGCAGCCTTGCGGAGTGGACCGCATCTACGATGGATGAATGTACTTCGTGAACTCTGTGCAAGGACGCTCAATTTTCGACGTGAGGAGGTCCACCTACTGTTGACCCAAGCTATTTCACAGGTCGGCCCATTTTCGTCCATCAGGAAAAAACCCAAAATGCCGTAGCCCGATGTAGAGACTCGTGCATCTCATAGTGTGATATGGCGCTTTACACTAGGGAGTATACAGCACCAACTCGCAGCATCACTCTGTGTACCATCCACAGTGATTCCTATATGACGCGCAGCTTTCCCGTGCAACGCGCGCCATGCGCGCACCATTCCCGCGCTTCACGATGTATACGCGCGCGCGCGTTCCCGCGCTTGCGCGCCCTATAGCGCCAGCCATCCAGATGCATCCATCCACTGTCCACCAAGCTCCCTAGTGCATATATTTCCATTTCCTTTATTAGCATAGTGTTCCATCTTTATTTTTATCATGTTTTCTCACTCATATATATATTTATATACCTACTCGGTAGCGCTTCGGCTCCGCATGACCGCGCTTAGGCGCGCTATATAAGCGCCAGCAGTACATACTATTACTTACCTTTCACACCTTACTTTTCACCCAACTTTACCTAGTACTTACTACTTAGAAAGTCGCAGTAGAAATCTATTCATTAGCACAACACATCTCACATCCTTTATCTTGCTTATATCTTCACATAAGTTTAGTCTCTCTTATTTCCGCTTACACGCGCGCGCTTTCCCGCGCTTCGCGCTAATACGCGCGCGCGTTCCCGCGCCTTTGTACCTTGCGCGCTCCTGCGCTTTCTCGCGCTTCGCTTAAGCGCACACTTCTAGATCCTTGCTGCACTCACTTCCCCTATAGGGTCGAACGCACTTGCTTCTCAAGTAACGCAGACTAGGCAGCGCGCGACCTTACAACTTTTACAGATACAGTCAGGAGCTTCTTTTGTTCCTCATTGTATTGTTGTTTCTACAACTGGAGCCCACCGCGAGGGGAGCAGTCAGCAAGATCTAGTTCCGCGCATTTCGCGCATACAGGTCAATATCTTTGCATTTCAAAAGCTAATCATTTTCTAGTCACGCATTCTCGCGCCTTGCGCGCGTGCAATATTCCCACGCCTGTGCGCCTCGCGCGCGCACCTTTCTCGCACTTCACACTATTTAACGCATAAAGGTCAATCTCTTTGCATATTCAAAAGCTAACCAATTTCTAGTCACGCATTCTCGCGCCTTGCGCGCGCGCTTTCCCACCCCTATACGCCTCGCGCGCGCCTGCGCTCTTTCACACTGCAATGCCTTATAGAATGCCCATCCGCGGCACAGCAAACGCGCCCAAGTTCGACGGCACTACAGACAACCTTGCCGAGTTTATTGACACCTATGAGCAGCTTGCTGATGAAGCAGGACTCCAAGGACTCGACCGCATCAAAGGTATCATCCGCTACCTTGCGCGCGATGATCGAGAACTATGGGGAGGCATGCCAGAAGCGGCAGTAGATAATTACAGCGCCTTTTTAGATGAGGTGAAGGTAATGTATCCTGGATGGGATGGTAAAAGACGCTATGCGCTCGCGGACTTGCGCACCATCGCGCGCGAATACGCTAACAAACCAATGCCCTCTTGCACAGAACTAAGCAGTTACCTGCGCGCATTCAGGAAGATTATGCAGCCACTCATGGACGAAGACCGTATTGGAAAGGCCGAACGCGACCGCTTATTCATGGAAGGAATCCCTAGCGATGCTCAGGCGCAAATCCACTTGCGCCTTATGATCAAGTTCCCTGACCACCACCCATACGACCCATTCCCATTCATGGACGTCTTCGCAGCTGCACAGTTCCTATTACCTGCGCGCGCTTTTCCCGCGCCAAGCGCGCCAGTTAGTGCGCCCATAGTAGCACCAATTGCCACCTTAGTCACAGCAACTGCGCCAGTGCAAGCTAAAGTGGCTAAGTACAAAGATCAATACCACGCGAGTCGCGCAATGCAGGATACGACCATTAGCGCTAATGCAACAGCTGGACTCTTCTATCGCGCACCCTCAGAAGCTGTACTTGACAAAAGGCCATCAGTTCCTATTCACGCGCCTCACGCGCGCGCCTTTCCCGCGCCTTCGCGCAATTCACACACCTCCACCATCAACTATGCCAGCATGCAAAGCTATACCAGACTGTATCACTCTAGATCACGAACTCGAGCGCGCGCTCGCGAAGCGCAACCAGACGCGCACTGCAGGCGCCTCTTCACCATCATCCTCAGCAGCACCATCTCCTTCACAATCCGCATCATCACCATCACCATCAATCGCGTCAGAAGTCAGGGATGACTCTAAACATCTATTGCACACTAACGCGCCAGTTGAAACACGCGCACCTATCGCTATAGCCTCACCATTAGTCAGGGATGACTCTAAACATCTATTGCACACTAATGCACCGCTAGAAACACGCTCGCCCCTCGCTATCGCATCGCTTAAGGAAGAAACCTCGCCAATCGCACCATCACCATCACTGCTCGCATCATTAGAGGTCAGGGATGACCCTAAACATCTATTGCACCTTAGCACGCCTATAGAGGAGCCTCCTACCGCATCAGAGGCTCAAGTTGCACCTTGCATCAACCAGAGTTTGCCTCTGGTAACTCCAATTGTCACTAATGATTGCGTGCATGTCGCGCTTTTTGCTTCCAGTGACTATCGCGCACCGGTAAAACATCCGTGCATCACGCTGCACAACCACCAAGCAGAGCATGTCTCAGGCGACCCTGGCGCAACTCAGGCGCACCATATTGCGCCTGAGGACGCGCAATGCGCGCGCCTAGAGGCATTGTATATTTTTCCTCATCTTGTTTCGCGTTTTCTGTCTCTTTCATGTTTAAAGCTCTTAAGGAGCTATATGATGCTTCCAATCACTGTAACATCATCTTTGCACCACCCCTTATTCACGCGCCATGATCACGCGCATCGCGCAATATGCGCGTGCATTCCCGCGCCTCGCGCACTCATAATTTTAGCAGAGTTTTCACGCTACCGCATTTCTATCGCTTCTCCCCTTCTAAACCGCATTTCTATCATTCAACACAAAGTATATTTCAATCAGCCATCCAGGCGCGACTTAGGCGCGCGCCTGACACATACATATGCGCCTAACTCCCCTATCATCATCTTTAACTTTGCACTTCCCACATTTATTCACATTCTGCGTGCTTTTGCTTACCATGTCAATTTCATTCCTGCGCGCCTTGATGCGCACTATTCTCCTTCACCTATGCGCCTATTGCGCCTTGATATACCACCCTTACAGCCCATTGGCGCAACATTTGCGCCTAATTCTTCACTATACATGTCTCTCGCTAATGCATTTGCAGAGAAATGGCCGTTCCTCACGTGTTCGGCCAATATAATTAAATTCGCGCGAAATCGCACCAAGGCGCGCACATCGCGCGCATCCTATCAGCTTGTAGGGTGCCCCTACACCCCTTGCAGCGCCTCCCATTGGCGCGCCTTCAACCTGCAGCGCGTTGTGCAGGAATTCATTCTGCCAGTTACAAGCCCCCCCAAGCGCGCCAGCCTCGCTCATTCCAACCCTACCTTGAGTAAAGCGTCAGCTCGCAAGAGACGCGAAGCGCGCTAGTCACGCGCACTTGCACGCGCTCAAGGAGGAGGATCAAGCGCCTCAGCCGCGCATCAAAGAACAACATATAACATTGTTGTTTCATAGGATATCATTCATTTTACCCTGGGTTTCGTCCAGCGCGCTTTCATTTTTGTTTCTCTCATTATAATGCCGTCCCAAGGACTAATAACTCACTGATATATATGCATATAGGGATTGCCTAGAAGAACATACAAGAAAACAACCTTAGATTGTGTCCGCCTAGCTCAATAGTATTATTTTCTCTTCGCATGCATGACGTGGCACCATGCTCTTTTTACCTTAGAACGCACGCATATGCGCGCAATATTCCCGCGCCCATGCGCCTCATGCGCGCGCGTGTGCGCTTCCCGCGCCTCGCTCATAGGAAGGTGTAGATGTCGACAGCCGCACGAAGAAGACAAGTCGGATAGGACATCCGCAAAGTTTACCATTTTTTCCTTCGCATTTTCACATATAGTTTTACTCACACTGTTCAAACCTTACCACCTAATATTTAGCGCGCCTAGCAGGACTTGGTTTGGACTTGGATTGGATCGCTCTTGGACCGCACCACTTCGCATCATATGCACAATACAACACACGCGACACTCACACGCTTTCTTGCGCCTTGTGCGCGCGCGCTTTCCCGCGCTTCACGCTGTACATGCGCGTCTCACTCATGCTTCATGCGCCACATCCATATCACCCTTTCATCATCACCCCACACCCATGGCGCACTATTCACACCAGAGTCACCCTCGCAATTCACCATGCTATGCTGCATTCTTGCGCCTTGTGCATGTGCACGCATTCCCACGCCTTTGCACCTCGCGCGCACCTGCGCCTTCCCGTGCTTTGCACCTCGCGCAATAATTCCTGCACTCGCGCATTCATCGCCCAACAACCCAAGCATTGTACATGCATCACACGCGCATACTATCACTCGACATCCTCACCACACGCGCGCTGAGTGGGGACACTCAGAATTTAAGTCCCTGGGAGATGTAGAGAATCATGCCTCTCATGGCGTGATATGGCAGTTTCCACTAGGGATTATACAGCACCAACTCGCAGCACCACTCTGTGTACTGTCCACAGCGATTCCTATAGGAGGCGCAGCTTTCCCGCGCTTCGCGATGTATGCGCGCGCGTTCCCGCGCTTGCGCGCCCTTTAGCGCCAGCCATCCAGATGCATCCATCCACTGTCCACCAAGCTCCCTAGTGCGTATATTTCCATTTCCTTTATTAGCATAGTTCCACCTTTATTTTTATCATGCATTCTCACTCATATATATATTTACATACCTACTCGGTAGCGCTTCGGCTCCGCTTGACCACGCTTAGGCGCGCTATATAAGCGCCAGCAGTACATACTATTACTTACCTACTTTTCCTACTTTTCACTTACTAGTTACTACCCACTTACTACTTAGCAGAATATAGTAGAAAGCTATTCCTTTACATTTTGCACTCTTATATCTCTTATCTTGCTTTATATCACTACTTAAGCTTAGTTTCTCATTTCCGCATACGCGCGCGCACTTTCCCACGCTTCGCGCTAATACGCGCGCGCGTTCCCGCGCCTTTGTACCTTGCGCGCTCCTGCGCTTTCTCGCGCTTCGCTTAAGCGCACACTTCTAGATCCTTGCTGCACTCACTTCCCCTATAGGGTCGAACGCACTTGCTTCTCAAGTAACGCAGACTAGGCAGCGCGCGACCTTACAACTTTTACAGATACAGTCAGGAGCTTCTTTTGTTCCTCATTGTATTGTTGTTTCTACACCGAGCGACAGCTATATAGCGCTTTTTAGGCACAGTAGCACTATGTAGGCGCACCTTACGCTACAGTGACCTATATAGCGCTATATAGTCTTTAGCCAAGCTACAAGCGGCTATATGGTTGGGGGGTGCTACAGGTAGCTACAAGAGCTATCACTGCGGCTACAAGCAGCTACAGGTGCAACCGTAGTACGTACGTGACACGTCGTTGCATATCATTACTTTATAACACATGCACAAAACATTTCGCCATCAATGAACTCGTTAAAATAAAAATCGTTCACCACCTCGTATGCATTTCCGCTTCTCAACCTCAGATCTACTGATTGTCCCATCCTCGGTATTAAATGGCACGGCCACACAATTTCGTCAACATGGATTACAGCAGCGTTGCGGCGAAGTTGGTGGGTTGAGCGCGAGACCTGTCGCATTCGAGAGGAAGGGTCGGGTGGTTTGAAAGGTGTGAACCACTTGACATAAGCGAGGGCTCTGGAATATGCGCCAAACTGGTGAGGTAGAGTGAAAATAGCGCGAACTTGTGCTACTCGTACACCTGCAGCCAGACTGTTAACAAAATTGACCGCTGAGAAACTCAGCAAAAAAATACCCTCAAGAGTATGCAAATGCGAAGAGCGAGGCCTGTCTGCTATCAACGCCATGTCAAACTGGGCTGGAGTACCAGGCTTCCGGCCTGATGGCAACTTTTCTGGAGTTGCTCTGATGCGCCTTCGCTTTGGCACATCGCTAACTCGTAAATCTGGCGGTGTAGGGATTCATTTCTGGTTGGGCTTGTAGAGACTGTTTTTACCTTACCTTATGTTGGCACTTTTGTAGCTTACATAATCAAGCAATCTTTTCACCAGTTACCAGTATGAGTCTGAGAGATCAGCAAGTTTCTATGATATTTCCTCTCCTCTGAGCCTTGAGCCTGGTCCAGAAACCCTTTAGGGTCGAATACCAGCTAGGTTCTGCAAGACCCAACACATTGTTCAGACTCACCATCTGAATTGTTGTACCTTCAGCGGCATTACAATCACCACTTGACGATAAAGATCGAATCGGTCTTGAAGACCAGGGACTATGGTGTTGTGCGGGAGATTCTTGAGTAAGAATGATTGGAGAGCAGGGAGGAACTCGGTAGCACCGTGTGCTGTTATGATGGTTTGAACGGATTGGTGAGGATGCGCGGGGACTTTTGCAAGGACATGGCTTGCTTGAAGTGGTTCAGCGGCGGGAAGATTTGGTGTTTCCGACTCCGAGTCCATGTCTGAATCTGCGTCGAAGTCATGTGGGTTTGAGTGAGGTTGTTGTGACAACCAATCCAGGTATGCGCTACGTATAAACACGGCTTCCTGGCGTTGGAGCCACAAAGCCATTTGTTCCTCGTAGTCCCGTTTATTGCTAGCACGGTATGAATCCTTTGCAAAATCAATGTGCAAGCGCTCGGGAAGTTCGGTGTTAAAGCCGTCAGCTGCGCCTAACAATGTGATGGACTGCACATAATGAGAGAGCTGGTGTAATTTCGGTATGTTGAAATGCTCTCGAACAGCGAGCTCCTTGAGGATGTCTTTATTTGCGTGAAATACAGTCAGGGCGGTTTGTAGGGCTTCGAGGGACTCAGTCATCTGAATGTGCAGCTGGGCATGATACGAGAAGTCGAGAATAGATCGTGCAACCACCAAAACACGACTGCCAGGCATGACATCAAAACATCATCTTAATGACTCAATAAACACTCACCTAGGTACTGCCCCGCTCAATAAGCCAACAAATACTCTCTGCATCTCTTTATGTTCGCACCCTGTCCACTGCTTCACACTCGATATCCCTTTCTTGAAGTGTCGAAGGCCGGGATAATTCGGGATCGCCTTGAAACGTGCGTCGATCTCATCCTCTCCGATAATATCGATGCACCACTTCACAAGGTGGTCTTTGAAGACACCTTTGTGAAGTTGATGCAGAAGGTCAGGTGTGAAAGCTAGAAAAATGTCTGCGTGAGGCAGATCAGCCCAGAAAGGCTTGTAAACGGCGCGTAGACCATTGGCCTCAAATTCCAGAGGATGCTGACCAATCTTGCGCTTGTGCAAGATTTCTTTTGTTGACTCTGGATCATGCATTGCCGAGTTAAGTGCATCCCCTCGGTCATTTGCGGCTACAAGGCACTTCGGACATCAGTTCTCTTTGCAACAACTGACCAAACACTGTTCCGGGAAATCGGCGACATACGCTGCAAGAATTGGGTAGATACGACGAACTCACGAGTCCGCACACACCATTTCGACACCGTCATTTCCAGCACCGATGAGAGGTTGGAGCAGTAGAGCCATGCAATGGTGGAAGAGGCGGTATCCAGCCAAGGAGCGTGCATCGGGGGTGAAACAGTCAAGTTTGCTAGCTGGTAAGTAACCAATGAGAACGGTTGCTCGTGCTGATGCTTGGCGCCTTTTTGCTTTAGCGATGTTTCCAATGGACATGTACACTGGCCATGCCGACTTATCCCCTCGGAACTGCGACAATGACGTTTTGTCTGAAGATAGAATGATTGGTGCTATCGTTGCACCCTCTGGCAAGGCATTCTGTGTGCGAGGTCAGTCTGTTGCTTTGTCACTCCCTCTCAAATAGTCTTACCTGTTTCTTGCCCCACCAGTCTGCTGTCCACATCTCGTCGATGACTCTATGTTGCCCCACACGGTCTGCATATGCTTTGGCAGGTGAGTACGCCATATGTTCTTTGAAGGCCAGATTGCCAATGAGCTCTTTCACGCATTCTACAGGGTCCCGGCTCCACAATTCAACATCTTCTTGCAACATTTCGCCTTTATCATCCTCGCAGTTTCCACGCACAGTCACCTTTTTACAAGTCCATCCTGGCCCGCGTGGAAGTTTATCCACGCGCTGCAAGAATGAGCGGTTGTTATGAAATGAAAGTTTGCTGCGGTTTTGTGTCTGGTTACTAGGGTATCAATATTGTAGGTTCAAATTTTGATCAACACTTTCAAACTTACTATGGGCAGTTTCAGGAATTCTTCGGTCCGCGTCTGACCAAGGTTCTTGACGAGCCAGTGGGCCAGATCCCACTCTTCCCTGGTGAGTGATATCTATTTAGTAGATGCTTTGCCAGCGCATTCGAGCACTTACTTGTCCTCAAAAGGCGACCATGGATCCTCACCCTCTTCCTCTTGGTATGTTCTATATTTTGCAAAACTCGTCTCCCCCTCATGCAGTGCCCAGCCAGCATCCGTCCGAGGTTCAAAATATCGGCCGTTATTGGTGAACGACATCCCATCTTCATCTTCGACTTCCTCGACTGTAACACGATGAGTCTTGCTGAGCGCTGGGTTATCGTCCATATCTGGAGACGGGCGCGGGTGAACATGGCCTGGAGCTGCATCTTGATGGGGGAAGTCAACATCTGGTGCGTCGTCTAAGTTCTCTGCCTCTACTTCTTCAATCATTGATTCATACTGCGTTCGACATTCAAGACGCCCTACAATGTGTCTCTTGAGACCCTCGTGTGTAGTTGTTACCTTCCCACAGAATACACAGTGGGGCATGCTGGCTTGTCTGGTGCGATTGACGGTGCGATTGACATGAAACTCGTGTCAAGTCGTGTTGTACCGGCCCTAAATATCTTGACGCCACAAAAATGGAAAAAACACGCTAACACTATCCTGTCCAGGCTCAAACCGCATTCCAGAAGGTTGACTCCTTCAATCAGATTATATTCGAAGTTCCATGACCTCCCGCCATTTGACACAGACTGCGACCAAAATTGGACTCGGACTATATTCAAAGTTCCATGACCTACCGCCATTCGACTGGCATACATGTAAGCATCTTCAATCTACCTATGGTACTCGCCTCATTGGTGCCCGGATCTAGTTGTGGCGCAGCGCCTGGTTGTTGCTGCGCCCAGTTTGAGTTTAGACCAGGCCGACCCTCAAGTGAGTCCTCATACCGGCCCTAATTGTGACTAACACAAAAGTCATTTGCAGCGATGTGACCCTTGCAAGTGACTAACTACTGTCACGGATGCAGTTCATAATATGGAGATTGACCCGAACATCATTGAAAATAAAGGTGACCCACACGGTGCGCCCTTATTCCAAATGACACTTGACTAAAACTAACTGACACTAAAACTAACTTGGCTAAAACTAACTGACAACTAAGCTAGGGTAGTAATGCCATGAGCCGCAAGTAAGAGCTCCAAAAGTTGAACCTTGCGTGACTCCTCACACCGCTTTTTTTCAGCATTCCATTGCACCTTTATCATCTCCCGCACCAAATTTTGGTGAGCAGCAGGACCTTGTATGTGCTCTGAGAGCTGCGCTCTGCATGACTCATCACAAAGCCTAATCTCTGCATCCCAGTGCTCTAGGACAAGTGTTCGCAGGTAGGTCTGCGAGGTTTTGATGGGTCCTGGAGTTTGGTGATATGGCGCCAATGGAAACTGAATATCAAGAGCAGGCTTAACCTCTCTTGGTGTATGAGGTACCTCCCTAGCCCGCCCTGGAGCAACGACCGCGTGAAATGGTTGACTTGGAGGAGGTTTCAATAACAAGATGTTCGGCTTCATGTCGTCTGATTCGTTCGACGACATGAACGCTGAACTACAACATCGGTGAGTGTGAGGCGAGCATTGGAGAAGGCAGCCACTTACAATTTATTCATTTTGGCTGTAGTATCGATTTCGCTGTAGTATTGATTGTATGTTTGAAAGGAAAGTCATCCCCGTCCCTCTTATTTATGCCAATATATTGACACCGCTTGGTCAGTTGAAAACTTTAACTTCGTGATCAACAAAACTCAAAAATTGTTTGTTGATTTGACGCCACTGTAGGGTTTTTAAAGGCATGCATACCCCCTCCTTCTGTCGTTGTTATTTCTACTGACTACCGTCTATTATGCCCGCAAAAGCCCCCTCCAAAAAGGGAGGTAAAACAGCACTTCTGAAGGCCCAGGAGAACCTATGTGCAGAGATGGTGTCGACCGCGGGACGCACCACAAGTGGTCGGCAACGTCGGCCAACCGAAAAAGAAACATATCGAAGTAAGTTATATCAAGCCCAACATGAATGCTCGCGCTCACTTACATGTTTCTGCTCAACAGTTTTAAAAGCTCATCGAGGAGAAGAACGCCAAAAGGCCTTAGAAATGAAGATGAAGAAGCACGACTTAAAGGCACTGCGCACTACATACCGGACACATCCCGAGGTATTCGACAGCGAGCCTGCTGGGCTTCTCAGCGATGCTGACACGGACGAAGACAACATGGTCAGTGTCTTATTTGTCCAGGCGCTCCATGTCACTCACAACTACATAATAGTTTTCGGACCGCAGTGTACCTACAAGACTACCTAATCAACAGGCGCTCACATACAGTATGAGCAAGACCCCTCCAACTGTCTTGGCCCGAAAACCCACAAGTAAGATCCATACAAAGCCACAGAAAGGTACTATGTCTTGTCCTGTGTGTATCTTGAACTAACACACTTTTTCAGCGTCCACAACTGTTGTGTCTTTGCATAACAACAGTGACAGTGAGGGCAGCAGCGACAGCAACGATTCGAACAACTTTGTCGATCACATGGACCAGGACGACACTGAGAACGAGTCTGATTGTGGTGCGGACAACACTCCCGATGATCATGACGAAGTTGCCAAAGCTTCTTCACCACTGGTTGTCAGCACCAAGCACAAACTGGAGGACTCGAAGGTCCTCAATACTGACATGAAGTTCAATAAAGGTCCAGACGGAACACGCCAACAATTAAAGGCCAGCGATTTCGACGATGTCACCAAGGATTTGCTCACCACTGCCACGTCTATCTACCGCTGTCTAGTCATGACTCGTGCACCTTTTCCAGAGACACTAATCATTGAGACCAAGCTAGCAAAGGATGCCTGGCGTGAGGCGTCTAACATGGCAGAGCTTACCATCCAACTGACCCCTTCTCTCGTCAAAATGGTACGTCTCGTGTCCGCGTCCTTGCCCTACTTGATTTTATTTATGTTGCATATAGATGACGAGGCGCACATCACAAGTGCGCGGGGAGCTTAAAACAAAGATGCGCATACTGACGGCCTCGTTCTTTGGCTTCCGTGCAAGCAGATCTGTACCCGCCATCAAGCAAAACCGTGACCTGGCTGAGTCTCTCAAGGAAGGATCGCGTTTTGTTTTTAAGGTGCGTGTTTAAATTCAATTTTACCATCATTAGTCAACGTCTGACTGGCGGAGTAAAAGGACTGGGAAATGAAATGTGGCATATACAAGACCGGATTAATCCAGGAGGCGGTGAATGATATGTGGTTCGCAAACCGAAGCGACGAGGGTATAGTATATGCTAAATACTTCGATCCTTTACCCGTTCAAACCATTGCGCTTATACTCACAGCAGTGAGTGTATTCAGTGATTCTGATGTTCGTACTGCAACTGAGGTCTGACAGATTGAATGCTGCATCGACGAGTGGATGACTGGAGTAAAGGAGGACATCAAATTTTCGTCGGTTGCTTACTCCCCGGTCTACCTTCTCCATCTCAACTCCCTGCGGCGGTTCGACAAGCGGACTGCTGCTTACAAACTGCTCGGTAAAATTGGTGTCAATCTTCTCGACGTCGCTCGGTATTTTTTTATTACTTATGTCATTCATCATCCAAACTGACATTCATAAAAAGGATGCACGCTGGTGTGGATCCATTCATGGCGGCAGTGACTATCGATAGCTTCACAGATGATGTTTTCGATGAAGCTATTCGAGAGCACGAAGACGAGGCTCGAGAAGCACGAGAATTCTGAAGGGGGTGGTGATTGAGGCGGCTGTATCTCGAGGATTGTATACATGCTCACGCGCTATAGCACCTTAATTGATTTGATTTTGTTGATTTCCAGTCAGTGGCCTGATCTATATTGCGGGAGCTACAGTAGCAGTGTGTAGCTACCTGTAGCTCGGACGAGCAAATACTAACACTATTCCTATAGCACCCTATAGTAATTTGTAGCACATATAGCTTTCTGTAGCACCTGTAGTTGGTTGCTACAACGAGCTACAGGAGTGGCCGTAGCACTACATAGTTCGCTGCGTGGCTATATAGCTCCACATAGTAGACACTTGACAAATCTGGCTACAGGTACTATAATGACTATATAGCACCCTGTAGTCAAAGGTTTTTTTCCTGATGTCCGACGACGGCCTTATTTGGCATGAGGAGTTGAACAGCGAACCCTTCCTTCATCAGGGAAAACCTCCCGCGAAGATTTTGTAAAATTTTCTGAAATTTTCTGACTTTCTGAAAATACATTAAAATATTCCAAGTCCCTCTACGGATGGGTGAAAATTTATGAAAATCCACACGAATACAACAAAATGATTATAATGTGATTAAATACTAGAATATCGCAAATCACAAGATATGAAAATGAGGAAATGAGACAAAACGTGTAACGCAAAGTCCCTGTGCTATCAGGAATGCCCTACTCATCCCATCGAAATCGATTCGCGCAAATGCTGCTTTCAACTCAGCGGATGCAAAGTCAACCAACTTCAGATCAAGTAGGGAAGAAAAAATCTGGTAGAACACAGTGAGATAGTGCTTGAACAGTTAGAAAAAGATGCACCACAGTAACCACAGCTGAGACCATGGAATTCGGGATCCGATGTTCATAGTAGCAATAATGGCATCGACTGCTGATAAATTTGTAGAAGTATAGTTATGATCAGAGTATTGCGGTGTATCGTAGCACACGTGTCGGAAGATCAGACAGTGGACATGAGTCAAGAGCTCATCCCGATTGGCTCGAGGACTATGAATAACGCAGTTGAGGTTGGCTTCCAACTTCCTGGAAGCATGTCAATAATATTCGTAGTCTCCAATCCGAGCACCATACCGGAAGGCTGCAGTAGGATTGCCACCGAACATAGGGCTAGCAGTGAGGCCCAAGACCATGGGATGTTCATCCTGCTCAGTCGTCACACTAGAGCCATGGACCACGGGGAGGCGGGTAGGGAGGAACCAGGAATCAACCACATGACTCACCTGCGCGCCTCAGAATGCAGTGGCCCGGCTCTGGCCTGAGCTGCGGCTCGAGTAGGGAATTTGCGATTCTGACAGTGAGCATGAGCGGGTCGCTGTGAAACCAGGATTCAACTACATGACTCACCCTCAGAATGCAGTTTTGAGCTATGTGTATGCTCCAAATTGAGCCTGTAGCTGGGAGAGATCAGGAAGGCCGGTTGGACCGCCAAAAAGAAGAGAAAAAAAGGAATCCTACATAGACACCTGGTTTGAATGACCACGCACAGATGAATGCGACAACAGAATTCAGACGCCCGCTCGGAGCGAGACTTAGCTCTGTGGTGGTGATGCCTCTCACCTAGAGTCCCCAACAGTAACCATAAGGGAGAATGAAAACATAAAGAAAACGACGTGACAGGGTGTGCAAGTGGTTGCCGCGGCTCGTGTAAGTTGCAGAGTGAAACATGAATATTTGAATGAGTTCATTGAAATCAACCGTGGGAGCCCTGTGATTAGTAATTAAATCGTTGGTGGTTCGATTTTCAATTTCTCAATTTACTTGTTGTCGCTGAGGCTAAGGCCCTTCGAGCGAGCTCTATGTAGCCAGCAGCAGACACCTCCGAATTCTCCCTCCCACCTGTTTAAATATATCCCCGTTCTGCATTGCGTGAACTCTACATTTTTGATATACTAGTAATTAGTTACATATCTCATGGCAGGTTCAACTAGAGCCCTGTAGATATCTTTTTCAGTGCATTCACTGACTGCGTTATGGATGTGACTATTTATCAACTATTTACAAGCTTTTACAAAAATTTGATGAAAGTTTGCCATAATTCTCGAGAATTGTTGTCACATTTTCAAAATTCCCGTGGGAGGTTTTCCCTGATGTTATTGCACTACTCGGAGAGCTGGAGGATTTGATGGCGAGCGTTGAAGGAAATTGGTTGGAAGCTGTCGCAATCAACACTATCATCATGCTTGTGTGGCGTATCTTGTCCTCGACTCAGGATGAGAGTGTTCAAAGTCGTGGATATTCGCTCCTTCGAAGGATACGAACTGAGACTTTTATGTTGCTGACGCAACTATCAGAGAACACGCAAGCCAGGGACGAGACGGTCAGCCGGGATTTACAAGGGCGCGTTCTGGATATGGCAGTCACCTGTCGTAGCACTTTTGATGTCGATGGAAGTGCTTCACTGCTCCTGACGTCGCACGATGACATCAAAGTATTTGTATATTGTGCGGTCATGATTTATGACAACACTCCAAACCAACTCGACAATCTTCCACAATATTCCAAACTACTACTAGAGCGAGACAAGAGATGTTGCCACGCATTAGAATCCACTATCCACCAATATGCAGAGTTTCACAGGGAGGGTCTTGATTTGGCGATGGCCAAGATTTGGGGCAGCTACAGACCAGGAACTTCTTGGAGGGCACTGACGGCTCCGAATTCTCGTTGGCTCGTGGCACAGACTGCGCCTTCGCATTCCCAATCACCGCAGGACGTGCGCATCAATTTGATTAGCGGATGCTTGCTTGTCGACGGGAAGCAGCTGGGAAGACTTCCTCCAATGATAGTACAACATCCCACTTACCAATCAATTTTCAGCGATGTAAGTCTTTGAAAGTTGTAGCTTTGTTGGTGCATGCTCACTTATCAGCTACAGCAAGTTTTGGACATCGTTGCAGCTGATATTCGTGGAATGGAATATGCAACACGCGGAAATTTCTGTGACCATATCAGGTCAGTGGTTACTCTCGTTGTAATCACGCAGTAACTAATGACGCACTCGCTTGTTCCTGAAGGTGTCTTTTGCTCTTCGTAACTCAAATGATCTCATCATCCGTGCGAAGCACATCAAAGATGATTCACCTATCCTCCAGCTCATTCCGAGCCACAAATTTGTGGATGACTTACCGACAACCTTGGTAGCAGGCGATACTCATTGGCTCAACCTGCACACAAATGAAATCGAGATTCGCCCAGTAGAAAATGCATGGAAGTCATCGTCTGAAAACTGGGTTTTGCGATTTTCCGTTTCAGGTTCCTCAATGGCGCAGAATTCCAGTGGTGCCACCCTTGTCGACATACGCAGCCAAACGTGGGACATGATCTCTAGAAGGTTGCGTCCTCTGGAGAATGCAAGCTTTATCATGGTCACGTGTAACAAAACGTCTGGCAGCACTCCCTCGTGGAGGGCTGATTTACCTCGATATGGCCTCGAGTTCTTCATCGACCAGGATGGAGAACTGCAGTCCCGTAACATGGGCAACATGGTCGTTGATATCATCCAGTCCACTGGAACGATGTTGGGATTGATCAATCAGCTCATCTTGCGCCCGAAGTTGCAAATTGCAGATGAGCATTCACGCACCGTCATCATCCCAGACGGTCGTATCTTATACTCCGCTGACGGTCACCATGTCCGCGTCACTATCACTCCTGAAGGTACTCGAATGACATACCAGTTGTACAGGATTGATACGGATCTATGTTGCCTAACTGGGAACATGGGTCTGACGAGTAAGCTCTATCAGACACTGCTCCATGCTGTTACTAGCAGCTGTCTTCCTGATCCCCTGACGGGTCGAACGGGGACAGAGGAGGCGTTGCATCTCTTGCATTCCGCAGCTTGCCGATCGTTTATGAAGCTCCGCCCTCGCGACGCAGATTTCTTGCGCGAGATCAGTTCTCTGTCAACCAAGCGTGTCTGGTATCCCACTCATCTTCAGAAGATGCAGACGATTTCATGGTCTTGCCTTGCGCCCCTTGCACAGCACCATGGTTTTCATCCAGCTGCGAAATCTATCATGGATTACGGAATGAAGCTTTCGACTTTCTCAGAAGGGTCTGCAAACCTTCAGGTTGCCTATGAGCTTCCACGATTCACCAACCATCTTCTTGAGCGCGCTTCAGTTCGTGCCTCGACGATCTATCCTGATCAGTTCTCTCTTCCACTTCCGCTCGGTGATACAGATGTTATCTACGCCTCACGTCATATTCCCGACAAGGTTGCAGAAGAGAGAGCATTCCAAATCACCCTCATGGTGCATCAGTGGTCATCCAAACTTCCAGTGCAACGGAATCTCCTTGATTTGTTGACTCAGTGGCAGAATGTCCAGGGCACTGGCAAGCCGCTCAGCTTGCAGTACTCCAAAGACTGGATTCAACCAAGTTTGCCTGATGTCTTCCTTTCTGCGTACGATTGCTGTCGTAGGGCCACAAAGAAAGACATACCTCGGCTGGTGTTCACCCTGGCTTCGTTATCATACAGCTTGTCGGAGAATCATGCACTCGTGCCAACACTCTTAGCCTTCGCCACAGTTTCCGAAATTCGCTGTCTGGGAGGCCCACCGAAGTTCGCTTCGTATGATCTCTCGGATGACTTCATGCCATCCAATACAAGATTGAACAATATAATCGATTCGTTTGTCAAGGATTATAAAGTCAGCGAGGAGAAAGAGCTAGCTGCAAGTCCTGGTGAAAAGAAAAAGGCTCTGGAGAAGCGTCGTCGTGCAGCTTTTAAAGACAGGTGTCTCTCCGAAAAACAAGTCATTCTCAGCAAAGTTCAGGATGGCTGGCCATGCGAAAATCCTCCGGCACTTGATACGTTGCAGGTGAAGTGTTATAATCTCATCGATATGCCAGGGAAACTGTCCCCGGTGTTTCGTAGCTGTTGGCGAAACCGTTGTCTGAAGCTACACCTGGATAGTCTGCAGTGGACGCTCAGACAGGTCTACACGCCAGATTTCTCTTCGAAACTACCATCTCAATATGATCGTAATTCCTACCTCGAGGACTCAGATATTGCATCACCGGCCTCATCCATTGATGCGCAGTACCTGTTCAATAGAGATCCGCCTGTGACAAGCATGTGCGGGTCTTCCCAAGTTCTGCCTAATGCCAATCCGAGAGATTTGGTATCCCCAGACTCCCAAGTCGCAGCAGGGTTGCAACAGCTGATCAACGATTTTCGCGCACGAGGAAGTGACAAGTTTCGCCGCAAATACGCCGACGATCTGGATCAGAGCAGGTCGATCTACTGTGACGAGAAGATCATTGCCCCACCAGATTCTACGCCATACACAATGGAACTACTGCTTGAGAACCATTCTCTCCATAGTTGGCAATTTTAGGACTCACTCGCATCTTTCTCACACGCCCTCTCCCCCACCTCCGCTACTGAGAGCACGATGTATGATGCTGGATTATGGCCTCGAGTTACACCAAATTTTCTTTTCACACGTATGGCTTCTACAGCAGGAAGTCTTTTGGGGAAGGCTTGGCGTGCTGCTCTTATCCAGCTGTCGCAGATACTTTTGCAGCTGCAACGCTCGCGAAGGCTGTTGGTCTTTGCTGCTAAGAAAAACTGGGTCGAGTTCTTCAAGGAGTTGGATAGCGAAGAATGCAAGGGATTTGATCCGGAGTTGTACCCTGATTGGCTTTTAATACAGGTACTCTATAAGAAATCGATCATGAACGGTAACTGATAATGACATCCTCAGATTGAAAGTCAGTTCTTGGCACGACCGGTCCAGGTCAAAGTCGCGCTAGAGATGATGTCACCATGCACAGGGGGAAATACTTCTCTCCAACTGAACTGCAAATCCTACGTCATCGTTCCTCTCGTAGCAGCTGCACTCTCTGATGGCCACAAACTGGTCCGAGTAATCGTGCTAAAGTCGTCGTCGGCCCAGATGTTCCAGCTCCTGGTCGAACGACTAAGCGGCCTTGCACAAAGGCGCATTTTTTATATCCCATTCTTCCGCGCGTTCTCTATCGACTCATCGAAGGTGCAGATGTATCGTGACTTGATGCAAGAGTGCATGGATACCAAGGGAATCTTGGTCGTGCAACCGGATCACATTCTGCCATTGCAGCTGATGGCTGTCGACCGTCAGCTTTCCCCTCAGATTGAAGCTGCTGAAGATATGCTGCAGACTCAGCTATGGCTCGACAATCACACACGCGACATCCTGGATGAAAGTGATGAAATTCTGCATGTTCGCTACCAGATGGTATACACTGTGGGTCTCCAAAGGTCACTTCAAGGTCATCCGGAAAGGTGGACGACAACACAACAAGTGTTGAGTCTTGTTGCGAAACACGCCGCTCGGCTCATGAGCGAGCTTCCCTCTCGTTCAGAAGTATCTCTTCGTGAGCACGGAGGGTTCCCCTTCGTTCGGATTCTGCACCCGACAGCAGGTGAAGCATTAGTTCGATGGATAGCAGAAGATATCATCAATGGCGCCCTTGAAAACATCGGCTTCGATCAAGCATCCCCCCATGTGAAAGAAGCTGTTTGCTGTTTTATCGCAAATGAAAACGTATCCAACACTTGTGTCAGCGTAGTGGAGGATCGCTAGAGACACTATCGTTTGGCCCAGCCTTCTAGTCTTGCGAGGATTGCTGGCGTATGGTATCTTGGTGCACGCAATCAAAGAACGCCGCTGGCGCGTGGACTATGGCCTTGCCCCAAAACGAACGATGTTAGCTGTTCCATTTCGCGCAAAAGACATGCCCTCATTGCGGGCAGAGTTTGGCCATCCGGACATTGCTGTCACCCTCACATGCCTATCATACTACTATGCAGGTCTAACGCTCCAGCAGCTGATGCTGTGCTTTGAGCTCCTGCTGAAGCAGGATGATCCTGCCCTCGAGTATGAGTCATGGGTTGCTAGACTTCCGTCTGTCCCAGAAAGTCTGTGTCAGCTTAGCGGAATCAATACGGAATCCGCAGAGCAGCTCCCTGAGCTTCAACGACTGTTCGAATTCAACAAGGCGGTCATAGATTTCTATGTGTCCCGAGTAGTTTTACCCAAGGAAGCGAAGGCATTCCCCAGCAAGCTCACCTGCTCCGGGTGGGATCTCGCTCAAGAGAAGAGACATCTCACCACCGGCTTTTCTGGTACCAATGACAATCGCTATCTTTTGCCAAGCTCGATGGTGCAGCATGACCTTGATTACCAACGCAGCACGAATGCCCGAGTCCTGGCGTTCCTTTTGCGCCCAGAAAACAACTGCTATAGACCCATACCGCCTGGCCAGAAGATGCAACATTTCATCGAGACCTTGATAGCACAAACCCCCGAGGTCCGCGTGCTCCTGGATGCTGGTGCGCAGATGCTGGAATTGAAGAATCAGGAATTAGCCGAAGCATGGCTTAGAGCCAAGTGTGACGCCCAAGCCGCAGTCTTCGTGAACAATGACGACGAAATTGTTGTCGTTAGTCGGGATGGGACAGTGGAGTCTCTTATGTCGTCTCCTTTCGCCCAACAGCTCGACCAGTGTGTGATATATCTCGATGACGCGCATACAAGAGGAACGGATGTCAAGCTGCCTTCTGGCTTCCGAGCTGCTGTCACGCTTGGTCCCAAAGTCACGAAAGACCGCCTGACGCAAGGTTCGTGATTACAGAGTTCACGCGCATCAAATTTTGACAATAACCAACGGCACAGGATGCATGCGAATGCGGAAGTTGGGCAATGGTCATTCAGTGATGTTCTTCGCTCCGATGGAAGTTGACCGAAGCATTCGTTCGGCAACTCAGAAGGCTGATACAGATCGTGTTGATGTTGCAGACATCCTGCACTGGGCGCTGCTTGAAACTTGTCTTGACATTGAAATACGTGCATTCCACTGGGTTCATCAGGGATCAGATTTCAATGCACGGCGTTCCGCATGGGCTCAATTCTCGCGTGCGCCTACCACTTCGATTTCCACCCTGAAAACAGCCTGGTTGCAGCCAGAGGAGCGTTCATTAGAGGATATGTACGCACCACGCAATCCCTCACACCGGGTATCCCATATTTGGGATGCAGACATTCGAAGCAAGTGTGAGGAGCTCGGGGTTCTAACAGGACCCGAAAGGAGCATGGATGAGGAACAAGAGAGGGAGGTAGTCCATGAGGTAGTCCATGAGGTAGAGAGAGAACGTGAGGTGCAAAGGCCGTCCAAAGTGCAACCCGCAGCTCAGGACTTGCATGCGCATGTCCGTCAATTTGTCAAGACCGGCCGAATTCCCAAAGGGTCCCCCGTTTTCATTCCAGCGCTATCCAGCCTCGTCAACACCACTGCCAAATTTCATGAAGATCATCACTGGGCGCGCAGCGTTTTAGTAACCCGTGACTTCGCTCGTACGGTGGGGACTACCCTAACCACACAGAAAGTGGATGAATACCTGCGGCCCGTCAATTGGATCGTGCTCAGTGACGTTGGAGTGCTGGTAGTCATGAGTCCTCACGAAGTGGACGCACTGCTGCCTGATATCCGCAACAGCAACGCAGTTCAATTATGTCTCTATACTCCTCGGACCACACGCACGATGAAGGCATGCGATGATCTCCGACTGTACCGTGTTCCTTCGACGCCACATCTGACACCATCGGAACTGCAGATTTGCCAGCTCAATCTTTTTGCAGGTCAACTGTATTTCTCCAGTTGCGAAATGTATCTCCGCACTTGCAATTTCTTAGGGCTCAACGCGCTGGATTTGGTAGATGAGGACTTGATAGCTGACAGTGATGGATTCATCAGGGAGGAGAATCGCTCTCCTGCGAGAGCATCGTGTTTGTTCAAGCGATCCCAGCTTCCTCCGCTGAAGGAGTTGTTCGGAATGAGAAGGAAAGGCATGGCGTATCTGCCAACTCACCTCGGAAAGATGTTCAATGGGCGCATTCTGACCAAAGGGGATCTTCTGGACCGAGCGCCGAGTCTGTTTAGCGTAAGTTTTCGCCCTTCTGCAAAAGACCCTACTCACTGCAGTTCTGGTCGACAGTGATCGTGTCAACATCGGTCTTCATCATGATTAGTAATTTTGTAACGTTCTTCGTGAATGTATTTGTAGTGGATCTGAAACGTTATGCGTCTTGCTGCGTCGTGTCAATTAGAATGCTCGGTTATTAGTTATTCGGCCATGTAGTTGAAAGACAAATATGCCTGATGCATTAGTAGCTACGGAGTCATACAGTTCTTCGATGAGTCATTACTCGTACAATACAGCCAGTGCCGGCAGGTTATCTCTGTGAGCTGCAAATTTATGGTCAGGAAGTTTATATGGGAGGCGAGCTTTAGACACACCTTCTCATGCCACCCCAAGAGCACGCTGCTGCTCACATCACCCCAGCCAGGCATCCCCATACCCTTCCAAAGGTACTTCATCAAAGTGTCCTGCTGAGCATCTTGGGTGTTCTCACCACTTTCGCAGTGCAATTGCGTAATTGTTCGTGTGGTGTTTGCTTTTTGTGGTCTCCCTAGTGCAATCGATGTTTAGTGGCAGGACCCATACGCGCCTGGCTTATTCGACATCCCGAAGAAGCGGGGCAAATTTGGTCTTGTTTATGGTGGACGATAGGTTACGGTTTGATTTGCCGATTTGCCGATTTGCCGCCACTTATTTGGAAGTCCGATTCTCGTGGTGCGAGTTGTCACAGGTGTTATGTACCGCATGGAGGCTCGTGCTCGCGTCACTCATAATATGATCGTCCGTTGCATTCTGCTATCCCTTCTGACATGCTCTCGCAAACCCTCGCTGGTGTTCCCACTTTGTTGCGCGTCCTGTCAGCAGTTTATATCGTTTCTACTATGAAATACACTGAAATCTACTATTTCTCACCTTACTATGTGCCAAGTGAATGGTACGACTCAGCGATAAAAGTACAGAGTAGCAAGCCTCACAGGATGCGCAATATTCCCTTCAAACTTGGCGTGCTACTTTCGCTGATGGCTGACCTTGACGTTGCTAACTTCTTTAACATGTACAGACTCTCCTGCTAACATTCTCAAGTCGGCCATCGTTCTCAGCGCCTTGTATAATTACACGTCTATCGTGCCAAACATACAAATACCATGGAAATACATGCGCGACAAGACCTGGACCACCCGCCTCTTCTCCATCCCCCGTCTTTTCATACTCCTGACTCGTCACTGCACCTACCACTAGGCACGTCCTGCTTGCCCTGGCGGCGACTGTGGTCCATGTCAACGAGTATATGTATGTGCGTATGCATGTCTGTATCTCGTCCGGGTGCTTTATTCTCATAGTCGTGCTTAGCCAGGGCTCCAACAGAATATCGTGGTCGATCCCTCATCAGCAGTTTGATAGGTACGCTTGAGACATTTTGATATTTTCTGATACTCCACTTTCCACTCAGCGGACCTCATATTCTTGTCATGTTCATTCACAAGAAAGAGGTACAATAAAACCATGAGTTTATCCAATTCATTCCTTTCATTCTCCTTGGCCCGTCGGATAGAGGAAATCGCATCTGAGTGAGGGAAGCAAAAATTATAGTGGATTGCGGGCGAGTATTCCCGTTCTCTCGCACGCGGGGTCGCTTATTAATTTATGCGGCGTCCAGAGCAAGATGTCTGGAGATGTACCATACCTTCTCTGAGCTAACGCACGCCTCGTCCCGCTAATACCCACTGTACCGCACTCGGATCATCAGAGGCATGGCACGGCACGTACGAATATCGAATACATGCGTGTTTCTCAATGTTGCTGGTTGGGAATTGCCTCGCGCTCACGGAACCAACCACAAGCGTGCTATGTGCCGCGGCAGACAACAATGCATACGTGTACAAAAGACATGAAAAACGGGAGACTGCGGCCCATTCACCGCGACAGTTGAATGTCACGTTCGTCAACAAGCACGCAGACTAACACATTCACGAGACAGCCGAACGGAATCTTCCAAGCGCACGCTCATTTATCCATGGGAGTCCACAGCTGCCTGCTGATGAGCTGCCCCGTCTGGTTCTTGAGGGTGACCTGCAACGAGCGTCAGAAACAGTATGGCACCACGGTCAACGGGCCACGTCACCGATCCATTATCTTCAAGCTCCAAAGTATAGTGGCTTTGATCGTCCTTGGACGCGTGGGGGACTTGGAGTCTGCACCCCATCCGTCAGTCGATAGGCCTGGTCTGAATCAAGCATGATACGCACGCGATATTCTCGCCTTCGAAGACCAATTTCCACCAGTGCTGAGTGTCGCTCATGAGGACTTGCATGCTCGACTGCAAATTCGTGAGATCGACATCGGAACCGCTTCTCGCAGACACCTACGTTCCACGACAAGAAATTTCCAGTATCCTTGTTCTGGACCGACCACAGACGCATGTCCGTCGGTCTGTCATACTTGTACACCGCGGTCCACTATTGATGATGTCACTCGTCAGCGTTAGGGTCAGAACTTTATCTCTGGACGTCTACTGACCCTCTGATTGTTGGTAGAGGTGAACTGCTGACCTTCGACCTTGACGTGCACGCCGTCTCTGTGCGTCGCCAACACGTAGTCAGGGTCGTGGACATTTACGAGGACACCGCTGATAGGCATGATGAATGAGATTTGTTGTTTGTGAGGCAAGGAAGAGAATATGAGAAGTGAGTTGGTCTTCAAACCTGCGATCGCAACATTATTTATATGCGGACTCCTCAGGGTGCAGACTCTGGGACGGGGCACGGCATTCTGCCGTCCCGGGCACCACGCGCGTTCCTGAATTGTACGAGCAGCTCCATGCTGGTGCCAAACCATGGTGCGATGGCAACTCGCCGGCTCGCGATCACATCATGACCGCCGCTCTGGAGCTTTCATCGCAAAAGGAGCTATCGATCATTCCTCGTTTCCTCCTGTCAAGAATGTTTGTCGATGAATTTACCTCATCCCAACACTTTCACTTTCATTGCCGAAGGAGTCGAGCGCCATTTCTGGCATTTTATCATTGATTTCTCGGTGGTGACTACGTACGACGCCCTGGCACTTCTGTATTCGCTTGCCAGGAATGTTCTTCGATGGCGTTACGACGAGATCAGCCGCTTTTTCAACCTAGCGACTCCCACGGCGGTGAATCGCAAATGGCTTTACAAACATTCAAAAGTTTCTTGATTTCGCTTGCTATGAATGTTCATCGATCGCCGGGCAGAGCCATTACTCGATGTCTTGGCATTGACTACATACTTAGTGCTTCCATTGCCAAAGAAGTTTACTGATTCTCGCTTGCGGGGAATGTTTGCCAATCGCAGCACATCGTCCGCACTTTTCGAATTTGGCGTTCGCACACGCAGAAAGATGGTATTATTTATGTTTTCTCTCTCTCTCTATTAGCTATGTGTACAGTTGTATATACATGTACTAGTATGCAATCCAAGTATGATGAAATTGATCGAGTACGATTTATTGAAGTGGCATTTGGAGCATCATGCTGTGGGTTGTAACCGTTTGTTTTACTGGTGTAAATGATATGATATAATACAAATGCTGAGAGAGATTCAAATTCCATGATGCGGTTGATGTCAAAATACGAATGAAAACGTGTCAGACAAATTAGCTACAATATCTTCGGTGTTCTGGTGTTCATCATGCAGTGAATAACAGTCATGTTCTTTACCCATACAATGATACTGCGGTCCGACCCGAGCCTTTTGTATTATTCCCCACCATGCTGCTGCGCTAGAAAAACGCACCAGAAGGTTATCCAAGGTGAACGATCAATCTCAACACTCGCAATCTTCAAAATAGTATGGGGAGAGCCATTCATCTCATGGATAGATAGACCCATTCATGCGCTCCCTCTCATCTGCAAAACCAGGCAGGTCAATGATTATTCTACAGACACCAGAACGAATGGCTGCTGAGTAGACCCTGGCCTTGGGAACGAAACTTTTGTGCTGATTAAGATGTCTTGAAGTTGCGTGCCCTGACTTCAGAAACGAGACATGTCTTCTGGCCACGGCTATGTCTCTGTCTGGTTGCAGTTACAGGAAGTGGGATACAAAATAGACGCAGCCTGCGGTTCGCAAAACGAGGAGCGCTGAGCTCGTCAAGGCTTCCAGGCAGGTTGTTGGGACATGGCAAGAGGAACTCAACCATACAACCAATGACATCTAACACTAGTGCTGTACTTCCCGTTGATAGAAAAAATCAACTGATCTCTTGAAAGTGCGGATAATGTGCCGCGATTGGCAAATATTTCCCGCAAACGAGCATTAGTGAACTTCTCTTGCAATGGAAGCACTATGGACTCAATGCCGAGACAGTTGCACACACCAAATTCGAAAAGTGCAGACAATGTGCTGCGATTGGCAAACATTCCTCGCAAGCGAGAATCGGTAAACTTCTCACTATGTAGTTAATGCCGAGAAATAGAGTAATGGCCCTGCCCCACGATCGACAAACATTCCTGGCAAGCGAAATCAAGAAATGTTTGTAAAGCCATTTGCAATTCGCCGCCGCCGTGGGAGTCGATAGGCTGAAAAAGCGACTGATCTAGCAAAACACTCGTCATAACGCCGTCGAAGAACATTCCTGGCAAGCGAGCACAGAAGTGCCAGGGCGTCGTACGTAGTCACCACCGAGAAATCAATGATAAAATGCCAGAAATGGCGCTCGACTCCTTCGGCAATGAAAGTGAAAGTGTTGGGATGAGGTAAATTCATCGACAAACATTCTTGACAGGAGGAAACGAGGAATGATGCGATAGCTCCTTTTGCGATGAAAGCTCCAGAGCGGCGGTCATGATGTGATCGCGAGCCGGCGAGTTGCCATCGCACCATGGTTTGGCACCAGCATGGAGCTGCTCGTACAATTCAGGAACGCGCGTGGTGCCCGGGACGGCAGAATGCCGTGCCCCGTCCCAGAGTCTGCACCCTGAGGAGTCCGCATATAAATAATGTTGCGATCGCAGGTTTGAAGACCAACTCACTTCTCATATTCTCTTCCTTGCCTCACAAACAACAAATCTCATTCATCATGCCTATCAGCGGTGTCCTCGTAAATGTCCACGACCCTGACTACGTGTTGGCGACGCACAGAGACGGCGTGCACGTCAAGGTCGAAGGTCAGCAGTTCACCTCTACCAACAATCAGAGGGTCAGTAGACGTCCAGAGATAAAGTTCTGACCCTAACGCTGACGAGTGACATCATCAATAGTGGACCGCGGTGTACAAGTATGACAGACCGACGGACATGCGTCTGTGGTCGGTCCAGAACAAGGATACTGGAAATTTCTTGTCGTGGAACGTAGGTGTCTGCGAGAAGCGGTTCCGATGTCGATCTCACGAATTTGCAGTCGAGCATGCAAGTCCTCATGAGCGACACTCAGCACTGGTGGAAATTGGTCTTCGAAGGCGAGAATATCGCGTGCGTATCATGCTTGATTCAGACCAGGCCTATCGACTGACGGATGGGGTGCAGACTCCAAGTCCCCCACGCGTCCAAGGACGATCAAAGCCACTATACTTTGGAGCTTGAAGATAATGGATCGGTGACGTGGCCCGTTGACCGTGGTGCCATACTGTTTCTGACGCTCGTTGCAGGTCACCCTCAAGAACCAGACGGGGCAGCTCATCAGCAGGCAGCTGTGGACTCCCATGGATAAATGAGCGTGCGCTTGGAAGATTCCGTTCGGCTGTCTCGTGAATGTGTTAGTCTGCGTGCTTGTTGACGAACGTGACATTCAACTGTCGCGGTGAATGGGCCGCAGTCTCCCGTTTTTCATGTCTTTTGTACACGTATGCATTGTTGTCTGCCGCGGCACATAGCACGCTTGTGGTTGGTTCCGTGAGCGCGAGGCAATTCCCAACCAGCAACATTGAGAAACACGCATGTATTCGATATTCGTACGTGCCGTGCCATGCCTCTGATGATCCGAGTGCGGTACAGTGGGTATTAGCGGGACGAGGCGTGCGTTAGCTCAGAGAAGGTATGGTACATCTCCAGACATCTTGCTCTGGACGCCGCATAAATCAATAAGCGACCCCGCGTGCGAGAGAACGGGGATACTCGCCCGCAGCCCACCATAATACATGTCTCCTGATCCGTGTATATCGCGTTCTGCAAGTATTATCTTACCTGTAGAAATGTCGATTGAGAAGAAGAGGGCGGCGAGGAATGGTGGCAGCATCGCGTCATGTATCTCGACATTAATATTCTCGATAGGGCCATGCACACGGGGACGTCTTTTGGCTCTGTTTTAAATTATATGATCAGTCTGTCCGGCTCAGCTCGCTCCCCCAAATCTCCTTCCTTCCTTTGTCTTCTGCTGCCGTTCTCTCCTCCAACCACTGAGTACTGACGCGCTAGGAGTTTTCAAGGACGTTGGCAGGCAGGCGCGCGCGTGCACAGAAATGTAAGAGAGACGACAGAGACATAGCCGACGGTGGATGACCAGAAGGTACAGTTGTTGCGACTGGGATCGGGCGAGGCTGTACGATAAGCTTTTTTTTTTAGCTAAAAAGGAAGTCGAAGTAACTTTGGGATTCAATATGTACAAACAACCGGGCATTACCTCCTGACCTCAGATTACCATGTACAGTCGCATCAATACTTATATCATATGTGATGTTTCTCTGATCAACGAAGATCAGAAGACCGGGTTCAAGTCTCCTTCAATCCCACGATGTTAAGCCATATCCGAGTCCGGGTCTCCACATAGTAGTTCTAGTAAGTGGCAGAGGAGGCAAATGAAAGGGACAAGCGAACAGGGACAAAGTTTACCATTCAATAAACTAAAATATGAGAGTTCTGGGGGACAAGGTTAAATGCAGAGATATACAATCACCCGGTGTGACTCGATGTAGTGGCCGTTGCATCGAACTTCGAGTCAAGGGTCGGCGTGACTAGAGCATGTACATATTTCGTGATCAAGAGATTCTGCATTCTCACAATACGAAGTGATTGACTTCGTATGACACTAGTCTGCCTACGTGTCATTTCTGTTTCCAAACTTACGGATCAACGTTTTAACCAGCATCTATAAAGCGCGTGAGCATGAACAATCAACCAAAACAAACCCACACCTGCTTGAACAATTCGTACCTTTGACAGTAAGGTTCCCCTCACCAACAGGATCTGACTTATGACACTGATGACGGTCTAGATGAATTTCTTGACAATCGTCATTCTGGCATTTACGGCTGGTGGTCCTCTTTGCGCACGAGCCATGCCCAGCCCCGAGACCACTGACGCCTTATGCAATTGGCAAACGTGTGGCACGTTAGATACGTGTGTGGGAATGAACACAAAAATAGTGTCCGTCAGATGTTGCGAGATTAACGGCGTTGAAACGATTCAGTATTGTTGTTGATACAAGTATGGCCCGGGAAGTCACTGTAACGCACATGAAGGGTCCGGGTATGCTACCAATGAAACTCTTTATCAGAGCGCAAAATAGAGATGAAAACAGTTCTGCTCATACATGATGCTGCGATAAACCATCCCCCAAAGATTCTCGTAGATTGTCTACGGCGTAGCAGCCTCAGTCGTCCTTGTTGAGACGGTCTGTCTCGCACTTGACGGTTGAGAAATGAAACACGTTCTTCATATATAAACACCGTTGTACGGACCTAGTGCCAATCGTTTCAGGAAACGACTACCTGCACTACTCATCACAAGTCCAATACGAGTGTAGGACGACACCCAATATTTCATTGTCCGGGGGGTGAAGAAAATTTCGCGCGCAAAGTTGTGGCCGCTCGGGTATTCCAGAAAAAGGAAAACGAACGCTCTCTGTGAAATGATAGCAAAATCTCAGAAGCATGCGGCAGTGCGGTGTAGGCAAGTGTATTAGAGTAGCACATGCTACTAAGTCTATGGAACCAACAAGCACAGAATGTCTTGGATGTGTACGTACTATGGGTAGTGCAAAACATGATTTCCCTTATGCGAAGGAATTCGTCCGCCAGAGGTCGAGAACAGCACGGGCTAGAGCCTGATAACTGCGCTTGAAAGCAGTGATATACGGGGAATCGAAATGAATCACGAAACAGCGTTGATCCAGGGTCAGAATACGAACGCGCGCGTTCAGGTATGCTACATGGTCGCGAAGGAAATGAGTGTAGCATAACAGAAAAGGTAGGAAAAGAGAACTCAAGGCGAACTGTGCTCCTATAGCCTTTGTCTCAGGCTTGTCTGAACCAAACCCGAGCTTGCTAACGATGCCCGGGTGCGTTCGTCTTCCACATGTATTAGGAAGGCCCAAGCGTTAGTGCTTATCCCCCCTAATACAGGCACATCTCTCCACGATATAGTCAATGATGTTAGATTATTAGTTACATCCGAGACAAGCCCAAGTTCCACTTGGTACCTATCGCTATATCTTACGCACGCACAAAAAATACAGTATGAAATCCACATATCTAGCACACCATGATTGGGCATGGTACACAACTGCAGCCTCCGAGAATGTACAGTGATAGCAAGTTGAAGTTCTTGATCTGCAAATTTGAAAGTAGGTCTATGTCTTGAATATCCGTAAAAGTCGGGCTTCTGTGACGATGCGAGTGCGACAGAGTGGACACTCGCGAGATGAGGCGAGTACTAAATCTGAACAGGCCCGACACATAGCTAGATGTCTGTTGGCATGAGTTAGTGAAAGGCTATGCGCGCAAACACAATATGTAGCACGTACCCGCAATCCACGATTGCAATATTTGCCTCCTGGTCCTGGCATATCACACACAAACCTGAACGTTCTGCAAGCGTCGTCTTAGGTAGTGGTGGTGATGGAGAGGTGGAAGGCGGCGGAGGATGGTGCTGCGACTCGCCATGTATCTCAACATTCTCAGCAGAACCGTGCGTATGGGCGTCTTCTGACTCTGCTGGCTCTGTCTCTATGGTTGACCTTTCTGCCTCATCTCTTTCTCTCTCTTCTTGTTCTTGCCTCTCTCGTCTTTCCCTCTCTTCTTGTTCCCTCTCCTCTCTCTCCATGATATCTCTTTCCTCCGCTGCTGTTCTCTCCTCCTCCAACCAGGCGCTGACGCGCGCCACGAGTTGCTCTTTCTCAAGGAGATCGGCGGGCAGACGCACACGTGCCTCGTACAGTATCTGCTTTAGCGTGTGAATGGACAATCGCGAGAGTGACGAGTAGGACATTGCCAGGAGAGCAGAGAGTGGAGGAGGGGGCTGCGGCGTGGATGGCTGAGGTGGCGAGCGAGGTGCGGTTGGTGGGCGCGTAGGGGGCGGGCTGGCAGTAGACGCTGGAGAAGGGCGTGGAGTGGAGTGAGGCGCCGATCGGGGCGGTGTTTGTGGCTGCGAAGCCGTCCTGAATCGTGGCTGTGGTTGAGGGGAAGAAGGCTGGGGCGGGGGCGGCGTAGGGGGTGTCTGGCGCTGTCTTGTGGTGTTGGAGGTATAGGTTCTGTATGGTGCTGGCTCAGGATCAAGGTCAGGACGGGGGAAGTCGTGTGGCGGTGGTGTAAACGTTTGTTGGTGGTGAGTTGGGGGTGGAGGACGGGTGCTAAAGAGTCCGCGAGGGCGCGAGGAACGATGTTTTGGAACACCATGGGCACGGTAGTGAGATTCATTTGAGGGCGGAAGGGTGCCTGTTGGTGTCTAGGAGAAGTGAGCGATAAAATGATGGACCAGGATGGAACGGAAAGCACCTTTACAGCGATTATGGCATCCACGAGGTCATTCTTATCGATAGGGCCTTTGACGGGGATATCATATGCGTTGACATAGCGGCGAAGGTCGGAGAGCGGCAGAGATTTGAGCTGGTTTCTACTAAAAGCTGTTACTGAATACAAGGCATCAGATTGAGACGTTGGTACTAGAAAGTATGGGACGCACTGTTGAGAAACTCAATACAGAATGCACAAACGTGAACTTGGTCATAGCCAGATGCTGCGCCATGGCGGGGCATGAGCGCCTGGTAGTCTGCGCAGCTCGAACAATATAAGTAACCTGCTCGAAGCCGCCAATCGAATCAATCCAGTGACTGATGTAGTTCGCAGATGTGACAACTGACCACAATGGTTACAGCGGGTTGAGCGTGTAAATATGATGATAAATTCCTTGTTGCATTTCCTACAGGCGTTCTGCGCACGACTTGTGGAAGGCGCTGGTGGAGGACCGCTGAGCAGAGGGAGCCCGTTCAAGTTGGACATGCACAACAGTAGAAATTCGAGAGGTGAAGATGATGATAGTCACTGGCAAGTCCTTGAACACCGCCGTGAGACTGCTTAGACTACTGCTTGTTCTGGTATATTCTCGAGAACAGCCTTAGTCGCTGTATCACGCGGTCTCGACTCTTATGGTGTTTGTCACTGTTCACGACGGCGGCTGAGCTCAAACTAGCCATACCAGTCCGCAGCAACAAAAATGATGATATTGTCGGTTCATTCATGCGGTTGCCACTGGCGCTCCTGACCACTTCCGCGTCTCTTTGAAGAAATGAAGGTTGAGTGTAGCACGACAACTTTTATGCATAACCAGGATCCAATATTGATGGGTATGACCCGCAGACTCTAGACTCCATCCAGGACTGGGACCGATGATCCTTTAAGTTAAGCTTAACGACTAGTTCAAGTCGAACTATATCTAGTTAGTCGGAAGTCACGTGATGCTTGCGTTCTTCTGATAAGATGGCTTCTATTACAATTGTAGGAGTTGATTGTACGTATATAGTCATCATTTGAACCATTTAGATCAATTTGATATCATATCCCAACTGACCAGGATGTCCACCATGTCAGACCCATGCATGCAACACTATCTCAACAACTTTCGAGTAGTACCTTCTCGATCTGTTCCTGAACCAAGCCATATATCAGCAGGTTGACTTGGAACCTTGAGGAGATCAATCAAGACCTCCTCCTAGAAGCTTGGGAAGAGCTGTTCAATGAACAATGTGAGAAGCAAACAGTGGTGGCAATTTAGGTCAGTACCAAAGTTTCATTCAAATGAATCCCTCCAGCTCACTACTAGTAGTACAAGGCTTGGAACCAAGTGAGTAGTGGCCGAAGTCACATCATCATTCTGTATAGTTGTCAGTGTCAATGTATGATTAAATGTTGCATATGGACCGCATCTGCTGTAGTGTCATTAGTAGTCTCAACAGATTTCTCGTATCTATCAGCAAACTCTTCGTGAACAAGCTTCTCGAGGTCATACCCACCAAACACTGCCAACCCACAGTAAAGGGTTGGGGTGTGCTCACGGGTATGAATATTGTACCCATACCCACCAAATCCGTCAGCATAGAACCGTGGTGTTACCTGCACCCATGCATTTCCCTAGATATTGTGCAAAAAGTCAGGTAGCCTGTGGTATATAGCGCTATGTTGAGGAGGGGGGGTTGCAACCTAGCAATGTTTACTCTGTGGCTTCTGTAGCGCTATGATGTTGCAGATCACATTTTTGCTGATGTTCATTGGTGAACGTTCACCGATTTGGCGAATGTTCTGTGACTGGCAGAATACTGGTTGGGAGGGCACACTGTCAAGGACAGCGGGCATGACAATAGGGTGCATTATAGTGATGGAGGCGTGGAAACGAACAGTCTAAGTTTTCTGGGTGTCTATTGAACTGAAGTTGGGGGCACTATAACACGCACAATACACGCACCTCTACAACTTAGAGAAAGACACAATCTCTTCAAAGTCCACCTTGACCGTTGTAGAGACTCGTGCATCTCATAGTGTGAAATGGCGCTTTACACTAGGGAGTATACAGCACCAACTCGCAGCATCACTCTGTGTACCATCCACAGTGATTCCTATATGACGCGCAGCTTTCCCGCGCAACGCGCGCCATGCGCGCACCATTCCCGCGCTTCACGATGTATACGCGCGCGCGCGTTCCCGCGCTTGCGCGCCCTATAGCGCCAGCCATCCAGATGCATCCATCCACTGTCCACCAAGCTCCCTAGTGCGTATATTTCCATTTCCTTTATTAGCATAGTTCCACCTTTATTTTTATCATAGTTTCTCACTCATATATATTTTTACATACCTACTCGGTAGCGCTTCGGCTCCGCATGAGCGCGCTTAGGCGCGCTATATAAGCGCCAGCAGTACATACTATTATGGAACTTACCTTTCACACCTACTTTTCCTACTTTTCACTTACTAGTTACTACCCACTTACTACTTAGCAGAATATAGTAGAAAGCTATTCCTTTACATTTTGCACTCTTATATCTCTTATCTTGCTTTATATCACTACTTAAGCTTAGTTTCTCATTTCCGCATACGCGCGCGCACTTTCCCGCGCTTCGCGCTAATACGCGCGCGCGTTCCCGCGCCTTTGTACCTTGCGCGCTCCTGCGCTTTCTCGCGCTTCGCTGAAGCGCGTACCTCTAGATCTTCGCAGCACTCGCTTCCCCTAGGGTCGAACGCACTTGTCTCCTCAAGAATAGCAGACTAGGTAACGCGCGACCTATCAACATTTATAGATACTGCCAGGAGCATCATTTGTTCCTAGTAGTATTTGTTGTTTCTACAACTGGAGCCCACCGCGAGGGGAGCAGTCAGCAAGATCTAGTTTTGCGCATCTTAACACATACAGGTCAATCTCTTTGCATTTTCACAAGCTAACCAGTTTCTAGTCACGCATTCTCGCGCCTTGCGCGCGCGCTTTCCCACCCCTGTGCGCCTTGCGAGCGCACCTTTGCACTTAGCGCAATTCGCACATATAAGGTCAATCTCCTTGCAAATTCAGAAGCTAACCATTGTATAGTCACGCACTCTCGCGCCTTGCACGCACTCTCGCGCCTTGCGCGCACACAATAGTTCCCACGCCTCTGCGCCTCACGCGCGCGCCTGCGCCTTTTCACGCCTCAATGCCTTATAGAATGCCCATCCGCGGCACCGCAAATGCGCCCAAGTTCAACGGCACTACAGACAACCTCGCTGAATTCATTGACACATATGAGCAGCTCGCTGATGAAGCAGGACTCCAAGGACTTGACCGCATCAAAGGTATTATCCGCTACCTTGAGCGCGACGATCGAGAACTATGGGGCGGAATGCCTGAGGTGCAAGTAAGCGATTACGACGCCTTCTTAGATGAGGTAAAGGTAATGTATCCTGGATGGGATGGTAAAAGACGCTATGCGCTCGCGGACTTGCGCGCCATCGCGCGCGATTACACTAACAAACCAATGCCCTCTTGCACAGAACTCAGCAATTACCTGCGCGCATTCAGGAAGATTATGCAGCCACTCATGGATGAAGACCGTATTGGAAAGGCCGAACGCGACCGCTTATTCATGGAAGGAATCCCTAGCGATGCTCAGGTGCAAATCCGCTTACGCCTTATGATCAAGTTCCCCGACCACCATCCATACGACCCATACCCATTCATGGACGTCTTTGCAGCTGCGCAGTTCCTACTACCTGCGCGCGCTTTTCCCGCGCCAAGCGCACCAGTAAGCGCACCAGTTAGCATGCCTGTGGTAGCGCCAAGCACACCAGTGCAAAGCCGCGCAACACAGGATACGACCATTAGCGCTAATGCGACAGATGGACTCTTCTATTGCGCACCCTCGGAAGTTGCACTTAACAAAAGGCCACCAGTTCCAATTCTCGCGCCTCGCACGCGCGCCTTTCCCGCGCCTTCGCACAATTTACGCGCACCTCAACCATCAACTGCGCCAGCATGCAAAGCTATACCAGAACGCACCGCTTTAGATCACGAACTCACGCGCGCGCTCGCGAAGCGCAACCAGAAGCGCACCGCAGGCGCCTCTTCACCTTCACCATCAGCATCATCTCCTTCGCAATCTCCATCATCACCAATCGCATCGCTAGTCAGGGATGACTCTAAACATCTATTGCACACTAACGCGCCAGTTGAAACATGCGCGCCTATCGCTATCGCATCGCGCGCGCCTATCGCCATCACCTCGCCAGTAGTCAGGGATGACTATAATCATCTATTGCACACTAACGCGCCAGTTGAAACACGCGCGCCTATCGCTAACGCATCGCGCGCGCCTATCGCTATCGCATCGCGCGAAGTCAGGGATGACTCTAAATATCTATTGCACAGTAACGCGCCCATTGTGGACGTTATTACGCCGTCGCTTGAAACGCGCCCGCCTATCGCATCGCTTAAGGAAGAAACCTCGCCAATCGCACCATCACCATCACCGCATTCGCCATTCGCATCATCAGAGGTCAGGGATGACCCTAAACATCTATTGCACCTTAGCGCACCTATAGAGGAGCCTCCTACCACATCAGAGGCTCAAGTTGCACCTTGCATCAACCAGAGTTTGCCTCTGGTAACTCCAACTGTCACTAATGATCGCGCGCATGTCGCGCTTTTTGCTTCCAGTGACTATCGCGCGCCGGTAAAGCATCCATGCATCATACCACCTAACCACCAAGCAGAGCATGTCTCAGGTGACCCTGGCGCAACTCAGGCGCACCATATTGCGCCTGAGGACGCGCAATGCGCGCGCCTAGAGGTATTGTATATTTACCCTCATCTCATTTCGCGCTTTTTGTCTCTTTCATGTTTAAAGCTCTTAAGGAGCTATATGACCATTCCAAACACTTTAATTTCATCCTTGCACTACCCCTTGTTCACGCGCCATGATCACGCGCATCGCGCAATACGCGCGCGCATTCCCGCGCCTCGCGCACTCATAATTTTAGCAGAGTTTTCACGCTATCGCATTTCTATCATTTCTCCCCCTTTAAATCACAAATTTTTCATTCAACTCAAGACATATTCCATTCAGACATCCAGGCGCGACATAGGCGCGCGCCTGACACATACATATGCGCCTAACCCCCCTATCATCACCTTTAACTTCGCACTTCGCACATTTATTCACATTCTGCGCGCTTTTGCTTACCATGTCAATTTCGTTCCTGCGCGCCTTGATGCGCACTATTCTCCTTCACCTATGCGCCTATTGCGCCTTGATATACCACCCTTACAGCCCATTGGCGCAACATTTGCGCCTAATTCTTCACTATACATGTCTCTCGCTAATGAATTTGCAGAGAAATGGCCGTTCCTCGCGTGTTCGGCCAATATAATCAAATTCGCGCGAAATTGCGCCAAGGCGCGCACATCGCGCGCATCCTATCAGCTTGTAGGGCGCCTCTACACCCCTTGCTGCGCCTCCCATTGGCGCGCCTTCAACCTGCAGCGCGTTGTGCAGGAATTCATTCTGCCAGTTACAAGCCCCCCCAAGCGCGCCAACTGCCTC